TGGTACCCTCTCACTGGCGGCATCGGATTCGGACGTATTCGCATCTCCATTCTTTTCCGGCACGTTGAGACCAGACTGCCCCCGCAAATGCTCGGCTGGGATGTCGGTACCTTCCATTTCGTTTCCGACAAGATCACCGTGCAGGGCTTCAACCATCGCTGCAAGATTCGGCTTCGCACCGGCGGCAGCAGCGGCAAGATCACTCGTCATGTGTGCCATGTCCAAGGATCTAACATGACCTACGACCTCTCCAGCGAGGACTTCCGACGCGCCATTCGCCTCCCTGTCAAGCACCGCTACCGATCACCTGTCGTCTTCGAGTTCCAACAACAAGGCCACCATCACACAACCGCTTATGCCGTCTATTGGCTCCAGCACATGGCCGACAACGAAGAAACCCCCATTGACATTCCCATCTGGGTAACCAAGAACGGCAAACGACTCACCCAAAACTACATCACCGAGCAGAACTGTCACATCAAACGCAGCCCGGGCCTCGAGGACCTACACGAGGTTGGCCGCCTGCAATTCCACGGCTTTTTCAGCCCCGGCATCGACGACTCCCACGAACAATACGTCATCGATAACGAATCCCGCGAGACGTTCGAAACCTGGGAAGCCTGCATTGCTCAGGGTGTCCGCGAACGCCGCATCTCTTCCGACATTCCCGAGGATCTCGAGAAATTGCACGAACAATCCCTCCTCGACGGCCGCGACATCCTCAAGCACGCCGAGCCCCGCGAACGCCGCCGCTGGATTGACAAGCAAGGCCAAGATTGGAGCGGCGCTTTCGGCCACGACCCCGGCGCCTACCTTAACAACCACGGTCACCAAGTTGCCGAACCGGGACGCGAGACACCTCCTCACGATCCGGTGAACCCGCCGCCCACTGTTGCCCAGTCCTACGGCACCATGCACGCTGAAGAAGCGCAGCACCAAAACTCCCAAGAACAAGAGCAAGAAGAGAAAGAGGCATCCTCCTCATCCAGCGAAACCGAGGACGACAACGACGATGATCACTACCCCCATCAACAGCAACGCGTCTCACAAAGTACAGCGTCCACTGGCGGCGGGAGCAGCAGTGTCGGGCCCCCCAGCCTCAACAGCATAGATGACGGAGCCCTGAAGAAGGCGAATAAACGCAGCGAGGAGCGTCAACATCGCGGTAAGATGCAATGGAGACCTGTTCGGAATGCAGTGTTTGCGCGTGATGAGGCTAAGTATTCGCTAAGGAAGGTGAAGAGGAAGTTTACGGGTGATTTGGCGGGTCGGGAGCCGGATATTGAGACGGAGACGGGGACTTAGATTAGGTCCTTATGCTTTCTTAAATGTATATGTGTACGTGTGTATGATTGAATGATAGGATGTGTATGTATAGTACTTAGCTCTTCATTTAGTTTTTCATTAGTATTGTATTGCATTGTCAAAATTAGTGTGCATATGAAACGATCAACATAGTAGTACAATAGTCGTGCAGAATTCGGCAATTGGGGGTTATTGATGAGAATAAAACCTGACGAGTAGGAGGGAGGATCATCGAAATATGGGCAAGATAGATCTTCTTGAATAGCATTAACATGGAGCGTTTGATCATGCATATTATATTGTTGTATGTACTCGAAATATACTTTAGATTCGAGTAATACTAGACACGAAATCAAGCATCTCGGAGGAGGATATTCGGCAACTCCCTCTCATAGAACTGTTTGTTCAGCATCAGCGACCTATCCAACACTCAAAGACCTACGAAAAATCACTACACAGAAAAGAAAACCCAAACCCACCTTCGCATAAGCATCCCGCAACCGCATCTCCAGAAAACACCTGGACAGCATCGTCTCCTTCAACCAGAAGTCGTACAGTAGCCGACCATCTGGATCTCTGGAAGGGTTCAAAGCCCTTTCTAGCTCTTCACGCACAACACGCCATCCACCCTTCGATTCTAATCCCAACATGTATAAAAGATGGCCCACGTGCGCCTGAAGGAGCGAATGATGTACCGCGTGCCACATTCTATGTAAATCATCAGTAAGAGTGCGAGCACCGGGGGGAATGTCGTTGAGGGCATTCTCATTGTCGGGATGGCGAAGAAACGTAGGATAATGGATTCGGATCCCGTCAAAGTCACGAATAGCGAACCCGGCTATCTCCTTGTTAGTAATGTTGACGCGGACGAGGACATTCTGGCTATGAGCTTCGATGCGGATTCCGTGGCGGACTAGAGGGGGGAGAATGAGGGAGAATAATTTAATAAGGTATCTTTGTTTTATTAGGTCGTTTCGTTAAATAAAGATAGAGGTTACTAGTATATGAATGGGGTATAGTATATCACTTACTTTCTAAACCAGGTTTGCTTTTCCTTCAAGCTATGAAGACCAAACATAATCTCCATGTACGTTCGATAATCGTTCAACGGCTTCTGCATTAGTCCCGCAACTGGGATGAGTGTCTCCCCGATGTCCGCCGCTCTCAGTTCTGGACTTTTTCGGATAATACATGTTAATTGGCATGCTTTCTGAAAGTCTTCCTGGGCACCCGTAATGGAAGCTGCCTCTTCGAAGATCCATAAATCCGGGGGAAGCAGATCTCTTAGGATATTCCCCACTGCAGTTGCTAAGGCTGCAGCATTGGGAGAAATGGTCCTCAGACGAGAAGTGATTTGGCAGTTCAGCGATAGCTTTATGTGTAACGGAGAGCTGCCCACGTCCGGCGTCATAGAGACCGTCCGCATAGAGAGTTGTGCTCGGCAGCGGTTTTGGACAGTCCCTAGAATGCGTGCGTTAGGGAATAGGGGCGTGATACATGGGAGCTGGCGACTGAAACACGGTACGACGATCTCATTGACTGTATCATCGGGCTTAGGAATCCCGAGTGATCTCAAGAGTGGGTCCAGAAGTGACTGGAATGGTCCGAAGACTTTCATGTCTGACTTTGGAACGCAGAGGAACGATAGTTCGGGCTCTAGTAGATAAGGGATGTCATCGGGCGCGATAGGAACTAGGGGTGGTTGGGCAAGGCACGTTCGGTGTAGCTTCAATACGGTTAACTAAGCCAAAGGCGAGTAGATTAGGGCAAATCGAAGAAAAGGTAGAAGTGATACCGGATGGGTAGGGTGTCCTAATACGACGGATTGCTCCCAATCACATAGTGAAGACTTCAGATGAAGGATGGGCAGAGTACTGGCCATCTCCAGCCACTTCTCTATCTCAACATTAGTTCTTGTTTTTGAAGGGTTAGATTGAAAGTAGCTGTTAGTTCACCTTGATTGTTCGCAGAATTCCGCACCTCCTTTACAAGTATCTCTACTGCGTCACTTTCATCTTGGCGAGAACGCCAGCGGCAGATAACACCGCAAATCACACCAGGGTCAAGCTCCTCTGATATCTCGCCGTTGAGGTTTTGGGTTAGCACAGGTCCAAGGAGATCGTCTGCCCGCACAAATCCAACAACCCTGCCGCCGTCTGTTTCGACATATGCGTCAGCTCGCATACCGCACTTGATCCAAGCGTCTTCATCACTGGCCATGGCTCCTCCGGGACTGCGTAAGCACAACAGCAGACTCGGGCTGTTACATGACTCAAGGGTTGCGCAGGCTATGCCATCGTTTATCGCACTGGCAAGTACTCGCTTGGTTGTCTCAAAGAGCGCCCGTCGCCTATTGGGCGATATGGAGTCTCCTAGTAGGGGTCCTGTCATGCTAAGATGGTTCAAGGTTTGCTGAATGATATGGTGGCATGCCGCTGAGTCTCTTGATTCATCCTTGCCCACTGGATCTGGTCCTATTCCAATGGTCTGCAACATCTTGACGATAAGCCTCGGAAGTCCGACGAGCTGATAGAAATGGCCAAATATAAACTGGTCGCAATACATATCCATTGTAAAGGCGTAGTCCACATTATAAGCATATATAGGGCTAAAATCCCCAGCATTGGCCGGAGATCGGTGACATCAATGGAATCCCTAAGCGGAAATAGATTCCAGTAGGGCTGTTACATGTTGCATTCAGCGAAGTCTCCCTTCCGCGGAAAAGGCCGAAATGCAACATCGCTCGGGAATCCTACTGGTTCAAGATGATAACCTTTATTGGGCCAGATCGAACTAGATATGTTCGATAAAGATAACATTGTCATGGAAATTGTTTATGTAGAGCATTCATCTTATCTTAGGAGGCTTGCACGCAGTGCTGCATACTTTATGCATAAGAGCCATAGGAGGGTATGACAGATCACTATTCAAGTCATAAGTTAGTATAATATATGAACCATCTCTGAACCTCTGCAATGACATCAAAAGAAAAAGCAAAGAAAGAATTCGAGTCCGATAATATAATCGGCAGAAGGGTAGGTCACATTCAATAATGGCTAGTTTCTCGTGAGTTGTCCCCCAAAGATCACTATTTTCAACATACTCATTTTCTGCTGCACTAGGGATGAAGGCTATGACTGTTCAGCATATGCTGCATACCGTCCTTCCCCTCCCAAGGCTCTGTACGATACTGTTTTAGCCTACCACCAGTCTCCACGCGAACTATGCGTCGACCTGGGGACTGGCCACGGGGCTGTAGCTCGCGCGCTGGCCACGCACTTCAAATCTGTCCTCGGAGTTGACTCCTCCGAGGGGATGCTGAAGGAAGCCGCAAGAGCTCAGCAATGGGACATCAGTAATATCCAATATCACCAGTCCAATGCATAGTCTCTCCCCTTCATTGCATCGAAGACGGTTGATCTGGTAATCGCCCGTCAAGCAGCGCATTAGTTCGACCCTGAACCGCTCTGGAATGAGATGACACGAATAGTCCGGCCGGGGGGGGGCACTGTTGCTTTCTGGAACTGGGGTCATTACGTCGTGACGGGACGCCCGCGGGCGAATCGGGCCCTGCAGAAGTTGTTTTTCGAGGATCTGGTACCGTACTGGCCTCAACCAGGAATATCAGTGTTCAACAATGAATGGATGTATCCCGTTGAATGCCGGGATTTTGCTAACTGGACCGACCTTACAAGGTTGGTAAGTGTCCCTGCCAATGACGATGCGCCTGGCGTCTCCAACACTCCAGGAGCTATTCAAATGCGTGCATCACAGACCCTTGGGAGTCTGGAGATCCTAATACGGACATTGAGTATGGTCCATGAATGGCGTAAGGCACATCCTGAGGCTTTATCAGTAAGAGAGGGCGGGTCTGGTGACTGCGTTGATACCCTCATGCGAGATATAATCGAGGGTGAGGAAAAATGGCGCGTCTTTGTTACGTCGGGGGGCAATTGGCGGGACATCGAGGTAGGTCTCGAAATGCGCAGCATTTTGCTGATGGCTCGAAAGAAGCAGTTCCTGTCATACTGTGAAGATCCGCACCAACACTATCCATGATAGCATGCATCCGCCTTTCGATTATCCCGTGCAGGACGGGTCTATACAAAACATATGCGTTCCGAAAGGTTTTGCAGATCGCAATGTATGGACAGTGAGTCTTGCGGAAGTGCTATGATATTCAATAATCGGGGATGGAGGTCCAAAGTTCTGGAGAAGAAAGTATGTAGGGAGAAGATGCTGGAGCGGCCCGCTGCTGCTGCTTAGCAGGTCAGGTGCTACACGTGGTTTCCCCTGTTCGTGGAGTGTTAGCAGTTCTATCCCTTGATTCACCTTTTATTTATCTGTTACCCCATAGACTTACGTTGTTATTTGCATTTTCTTGTCAACCTTTCAGGAGTTCAACATGATCTCATGCGAGAGAAGCAGGTATACAGTCATTACACGGTTGTCTCTGCTAAGACAGATAGTCCGTTTTTGACCATGCTGGTAATAGACTACGAGCACTTTTATTTTATTTTATTTTTTTCTTTGTTTTTTTTTCTCTACGTATACTACACACCTTTTAGTAGGCTAGCAAAGTCTAAGGGCTGGCTGGCTGACTAGCTGGCATCATAAGATCTATCTGGAGAATGATCTGCAAGTCGATGCAGCTATTACTAGAGAGATTCGTTGGACATAATGACGCAATGAAGATCCACGAAAGTTAATATCATGGGGTCTCCGCATGTTATTATTGTTGCTATAATAAGCAGAGGATGGGGAATGCATCAGAGATCGGCCATCGTATTTATGATTTGTATGAAGCATGCAGCTGCAGGAGCATACAGCAGGCACGTAGTACAAACATTGCATAGGAGAAAGTGGAATGAAGCCATGTGATCATCTGGTCAAATTGCATTCATAGTATGCATAAGTATATATTATTGGAAGAAGATATAAGAAATATTTATAGAGAAAGTAGGCAGAAGTGTAATAAAAATGACTGGTCGGTGAATGTAAATGGCATGAACGTCCTGACATTCAAAGTACAGCTTCCCGACCAGAAAAAAGAAAAGAAAGAATCTTCCCAAATCAATAATAGCTATCTAGCAATGTCTAGAAGTAGGATAGGGTATGCTGTGGTTCATCTGCCGTCTATATGCATAATTCGTGATCATCAATGCAAGGGGGTTCGTAACCAAGCATGGGTTATCGTCATTGATCGGCATGTGCGCATTCAAGTTCGTGGGTCGTGTGTGTCTGCCACTCATCATTTTCCGTTTCCACATCCGACGAGACAGATGAACTGGGGCTGGAGTGGTAGAGTGTGGTACTGGCGCTGGACAGCGGAGGGTCGGAGGACGGAGTCTCCGTTTCGGACTCGTGTGGTATCGTTTCAGGCTGGGACGCGGATGATGTTGGACCCGTCTCATCCTGGACGGGGTGAAGCAGTTTGTCACGATTCTCTAACGGGCCCAGGGTCCATCGCCACTCGCAGCGACGTTTAGCTCGCTTCCTGCGCGGCGTTTGCGGTGTCAGGCTGTCCGGATTGCTGGGTCCCGCGATTCCATCCATCAAGGCCACCGCCCGGACTTGCCTCTCGGCATTCGAATGCTTGCGCTTCTTCCGCTTAATGGGAGACGATGTCGTCTTCCCTAAGCCGGTCTCGGGTTCATCTTCAGAAGTGCTGGTGTCCGAGGGACACCCGCTGGCGTTCGAATCCGAGTCCTCGTCTGATGAGGTCACCTCTGGTTGCTGGGGTTGAGATTGAGGCTCAAGTGCAGGTTCGGGGTCGTCGTGTAGATCAGAGTGGCGTGCCGTGTAGTGCACGGTCTGGATTTCCTCTTCCAAAGGGTTGCGATAGCTGACCTGCTTCTTGGCGGGAAAGAAGACGCGGCGTGCGCTCGGTCCACCATTCGGCCCGGTGGTGGCCACCGATCCAGCCCGTCGGCGGCAGGTCGGCTCGAGCGGCGAGTTTCGCAAAATACTCTTCACCCCCAGTGGGAGTTGGTATGGGTTGTGTGTGGTGAATGGAGAGGAAGGTTTGCTAAAGCGGAGGTTGGACGGGTGTTTCGATGACGGAGAGGCGGTGGCAGATGAAGGGCCGGTGACCTCGTAGGCATTTTTGAAGGTATTGCGGACAGTGGGAGATGCCGTTCCGGCTGCAATAGAGAGGGACAACCCCGTTGAGGATGTGCCAAAGGTTCGGGGAAGAGAGGTGGTTTGGAGAGTCAGTTTCGGTCGGGACGATATCGTAGTCTGTTGTGTGGCACTGGAGGAGGAGGATGATGATGAGGAGGAGGAAGAAGAGGAGGTGGTGGTCGTAGTCGAGGCTAGACTGCAGACCATGTTGGAGGACGAAGGGTGGGAAGCTTGCGGGGTCATGGGGGTTGCGAGCATGGCGAAAGCCCCCAAACACAACGGCGGAGGGAGCAGTAGAAGAAGAGGAAGAAGAAGAGGAAGAAGAAGAGGGAGGAAGAGAGGAAGGAGGAGATAAACGAAATGAGACCAGAAAGCGAGGAGGTCTTGGGGGTGCAACAGTAAGGCCCCGCACCAAGAAGCAGCAAAGACGAAGCAGAAGCAGTAGCGCCTTGCCAACAGCACCGGAGTGTGATTCAAGATGCAGAAGTGCAACGACCGGCACCAAGCGCGTCAAATCCAGGGACGATAAGGTTCTGAAATAAGACCAGGTGGGATCCCAACGACTGGAACCAAGCAGACGAGAGACGTGGGCGCTTGTACGAGGGTCGCCTTATTTTAGAATGATCTGCGACTCATGGTTTGCTGGAATGTTGAAGAAATGAACTGTAGAACCAGAGGATAAGCAGAGGATAGGCAGAGAATAGAAGATCGAATAGTAAAGTCCAGAGGAAACTGGGTTAAATGAAAATGAAATTTCCTTAGCCGCGGGGGAGGGAAATTAAAGAAATTAAGAAATTAAGAGATTACTGTTAATCAAAAGTGCTAAATTTACGAGTCTTCGCCATCCTATCATCCAACCCGGCCTGGATGGAGTCGCTGGACTCCATCGCACCCTCAGCATCTCCATTCAGCATTGTCTTCAAAGTCTCAGTGCTCCTCTGCTGGACCACCGGCCGGCTAGTCGCTCCTCATCTAATTATAACCCAACTATTGACGCCGCCGCCGACGGGCCCCAGTTTTCTGATGATCGAGAATGGCCGATCCTACCAACGGCTCCATTCCATCTGCCATCTTCTGGCCATCGACGCCCGGGCGAGACACGCGGCCGATCCATCCCTCCAGCAGTCTGATCTCCGCAATGTCTCTGCTGGAAAATTTGCCTAGTGTTGACTCACATCATCAGAGTCATTGTGTTTTTGATTCTTTCCACGTTGGAAAATTGCTGGTTAGTCATTCTGGGGGCACGAGTTGCGAGACGTTATTTATAGCAATCAACTGGAGCAGGGAAAAGGAAAAGGTGCGCGTCACAGTACCGCCCTTACGTAAGGCAGTTGCATCTTGCACAGACCAATCAGAACTGCAGCTGACGCGGTGTTCTAAAAATGGCATAGTCCCTGCACGAGTGACTGTGGGGAAGTGACACCCTCTTTGGGTTAGTGTCACAATCACGCAGTTACTGAGTCAGCCAGGGTCCAACCAACCAGAAACTTTGAATGGGCTGTACCCCAGCCACCCAGCATGAACTGAAGCGTGACCAGCACCAGCCACATCCCAGCCGCAGGTTTGTTGCCCAATCAGCTGGGAATCTCGTTGTCACTAAGCAGATTGTTGCATCGCACTATCTGTCCTATCTATGGATCTAGTATCTCGGTTGAACGAGTTATCGAATCTCTTGTCGCTACTGGGATGACAGGTGCGGACGGACAAATTCCCTCTTTGAGCTTTCTCTTCCAGCCCTCTGCATTCCGGTAATAGTATCCACCGGAGGTTTTCGCAACAACCTTTTCGCCTCCCTACTACTCCGGACAGTAAGTAGGGACTACAAGGTAGCAGACGGAATACCACTCTCCGTTGTGAGGTCTGCCTGGAATTCGATCCCCACTGGCTCTCTCCGTCGATGCTACATAGTTCATGGCTGTGTTACCATCCAGAGACGACCGCCGAATTATCCTCCACTTTGTCAGTCACGCTACCCAGAGTGATCCATACTTCACTCAAATAATCATAACGTTTTCGAAGCCCTGCGGAAACATGACTCCATTCGGCCGTTAACTAACTGCCTCTCTGCAATCCCCACAGGATTATGATTGTTTCTACGCCTCGGTCTTTGAGGTGGAGCAGCCTGTGCTGAAATCCCTGCCGTTGGCGGTTCAGCAGAAACAGATCGTAGTCACCTGTAATTATGAGGCCCGCCGGCGCGGGTTGCGCAAGCTCCAGTTGATCAAAGAGGCCAAACAGATCTGCCCGGACGTCGTCATTGTCTTAGGCGAAGATCTGTCTAGATTTCGCGATGCATCCAAGGATCTATTCCACTACATTAGGTCCTTCGTCTGGGGGGAGAAGGTCGAAAGACTCGGCTTTGATGAGGTATGTATTGCTAGTATCGACTCTGCTACAGACTTGGGTTCATTGTCAGAAATGCCCGTTGAGATGGTTCTCCACGGGTTCCTGGGCTGCAGTGAGCTTCTTCGCGACCCCATCTAATACCCGCCTGCAGTTGTTCTTGGATGTCACCGAAATGATCAACTACAATGTCGATCTGCTGAATCGCTATGATCTGGAACATTCATTCTTTCATCTGGACCGGCACGAACCCACCGTGGGTTTCACTTATGATGCCACCCGATTATGTGGCTCCACTTACCCTGCTAACGCGAATACGATCGCTGCCGCTGCGCCCTCGACGACTGCGACAGCTGACGAGGACACATCAGCCTGGCTTTACACTCGATTGCTGGTGGCCTCGCACCTTGCAGGCTACCTTCGCGGTCAACTGGAGCAGCAGAAAGGGTACACTGCCACAGTGGGGATCTCTACGTCCAAGCTTCTCGCCAAGCTCGCAGGCAGCACTCACAAACCGAACAACCAGACCACGCTACTTCCCCCGTATACTACACCGACGCTGGCTGCGCCCAGTAATGTGCTCGATTTTCTTGATGCGCACGAGATCAGGAAGATCCCTGGGATCGGCTCCAAACTGACGCGGAAACTCAGTCACTATCTCGCTGATGGAGGCGCTCACTCAGCCCCAGCGGTGACCACCGACGACACCGCTGATTCTAACAAGGTGACTGTGAGAGATATTCGATTGTTGCCTGGCATGGGCCCGTCCCTGCTCAGTCGGATATTAGGGGGCCCAGGGGCACCCCGAGATATCGGGGTGCGAGTCTGGGGACTGCTGCATGGCGTAGACAATACCGAGGTCGTCCAGGCAGGAGATTTGCCCACGCAGATAAGCATTGAAGATTCCTACGGTCGCCTGGACAGCCTTGACAGCGTCCGAAAAGAGCTAGTCTTGCTAACAGGGAGCTTACTTCGTCGGATGCGGACGGATCTGACAGAAAAGGACAGGGAGACTGACAGTATAGCAGCAAACCAATCTGCAATGTCGAAAGTCCGATGGCTTGCGCATCCGCGAACCCTGCGGCTGTCCACACGGCCCCGGTCTGCCACCGACAGTGCACAATCTTACCATGGGGGGAGAATCTCTCGCTCAGCGCCGCTGCCCGGATATGTCTTCCATCTTGATGAGAGTGTGGATGCGCTGGCTGAACGATTGGTACAAGATCAGCTACTGTCCATGTTCCGCAAGCTTCACCCGGAGAGGTCTGGGTGGAACCTGCGATTGATGAACGTCGCTGTGACAAACCTGGTAGATGCAGCTGGAGAACGGAAGCAAAGCAGTGGACGCGATATTGGTAAGATGTTTCAAACCCAAGGGTCACGGCGCAACGATGCCTTGGCCGTTTCTGAGGCGGGGCACGTATCTACGGGTAACAGCGGCACGATGGTCGTCACCCCTCAGGAGCCCTTCCATCCTGGAGACGCTGCAGCCATGACTGAGAACGAAGTGGAGGAAGCTGCATGGGAAGAGAGCGACGGAGAAGATGGCATGGCTTGTGTAGCATGTGGCGTCTGCGGCGCCATGATTCCACATTTCGCCCGAGACGCGCACGAAGCATTTCATTTGGTTTCAGACTGACCGTGATTTGGGGGATTGCCAGGCGCCAAACTGCGGGGGTTGGAATGGTAACACTATGGTTGAAGAATATTGACGCCAGGATGGAGTGGTTGTTGCTCTTGAGTTATAGTAAGACAGCAGTACTCTGTATAATGAGCGATGATCCGTAAGCGCCGGGAGGGCTTGGCGGGTGTCCGCGACAACCAAAAGCGGAGAAAGCGATGAATCGCCCATCGAATGGTTTGTTGTGGTTGTTGTTTGGGGTCCCATTTGCAATCCCTGAACCGGACCCTGTCAATCCCTCCCAAGTCCCTCGTTATCTTCCGCCTTTTCCACCCCCTCCACACTTTATTTTTCCATCCATCATCTTCCAGTGCCTCAATCCAAATCACTGTCGTTGAATATAGATTCGCATCTGTTTTCCGTACGTGTATTTGTTTACTTTCGGGAGGGAGATTCTCGCCGTTCATTCCAGATTTCCGCCCGTCCGCCAAGGCGGCTGCGCCTCCAGCCAAGCCAAAACCTCCTTGGATCGCCAGGTGGAAAGAATCCCTTTCACTCCCCCGTCGAGTGAGTCTGTCTCACTGCTCCCTCCGGTCGTTGCGCGCGCTCTCTCTTTCCTCTCCACACCTCCAGTATACTTCCTCTGCGGGTGTGTGAGAGACTGCGACGATCCGGAGAAGAATAAAACCCTCCAGTGCAGCTTAATCTCCGGAGTGATCCGTCATACATGACCGGCTCCCGAGCCAAGATCTCGACTGGGTCCATCCAGTGAAAGGGAACTCAATCGTTTGCACTTTTCGTCGCTGCCTGATGCTGTGGACCGAAGGGCTCTGTTGAACCCTGACTCTCCGGATCTCTCGGTGTTGTTTTGATGCCAGCACGCTCGTTCCACACTCACCTTTAACCTCTCCCATCGGCTGTCTTCACTCGCTGACAGCAATGCGGTTTCTCACTTATTCCCTGCCCTTCATTGCAAGTGCTATCTCGCTCTTTGGGGTCAATGTACAAGGTTAGCTCGGCGACATCCGGCGCATAGATTTGTTCTAACTGGATCAAATACAGCTCGATCACAAGCTCCAAGTGCCATCCGTCATGTGTCGACGCTTGACCAGCCCACCATCAAGACACCCTCACAGCGGGTCGATCACCTTGACCACTTTGACATCACCTTCAATATTCATGACAAGCACCAGCGGATAAAGCTGGAGCTGGAGCCCAACCATGACATCCTGGCGGAAGACGCATCCGTACAGTATCTCGACGCGGACGGGAACGTGCGACGGCACGAGCCCATTGCTCCACATGAGCATAAGGTCTTCAAGGGGAGGAGTCTACTCGGGCGAGGAAAAGGCATGTGGGATCCGGTCGGATGGGCGCGGATCTACTTGAAGCAGGATGGCTCAGAGCCACTATTTGAGGGAGTCTTCAGTATCGACGGCGACAACCATCACGTTCAGCTGAAATCGGCATACATGGAGAAGAAACGCCCCGTGGATGTCGACCTTCCCGACTCAGCGACTGACTATATGATCTTCTACCGGGATTCGGATATGGTGCGTCTACATACGGAACTCAAGCGGTCGTCGCTCGGATCGACCTCGTGTCAAGCCGATCAGCTCGGCTTCAACACTAACCCCAACCACCCTGTGCTACAACCGTATGGCCAGGCAGAGACCGATACGTGGGGAGCAATTTCATTGAACTCCTTGTTTGGACTCAACAAGCGCCAATCCGATATCGGAAGTGTGTCTGGCAATGCGGGCGGAGTCAATCTGGCGTCGACCATTGGTGATACTTCGGGCTGTCCGAGTACGAAGCAAGTAGCTTTGATTGGTGTTGCAACGGACTGCGCCTTTACCGGCTCATTCAACAACGAGACTGCCGCCAAGGAATGGGTCATCAGTACTGTCAACAGCGCGTCCAATGTCTACGAAAAGTCCTTCAACATTACGATTGGGCTGCGGAATCTGACTATCACCGACAGCTCATGCCCCGACAACCCGCCCGCGGCCACGGCATGGAACATGCCCTGCTCCAGCGGCAATCTCACCTCCCGACTGGATCTGTTTTCCAAGTGGCGCGGTGAGCAATCGGATGACAATGCTTATTGGACCCTGATGAGCGATTGCGCGACGGGCAACGAGGTCGGACTGTCATGGCTTGGCCAACTCTGCAATAGCGATGCTTCTTCGGATGGCTCGAGCACGGTCAGTGGAACTAACGTCGTCGTTCGGTCTTCCGGCTCGGATTGGCAGATCTTTGCTCATGAATCTGGCCACACCTTTGGCGCTGTCCACGACTGTGACTCCCAGACCTGCGCGGAGGATCTCGAAGCCTCGTCCCAGTGCTGTCCGTTGACCTCGAGCACCTGCAACGCCAACGGGAAATACATCATGAATCCTACAACTGGAACAGACATCACTGCGTTCTCGCAATGCACTATCGGAAATATATGCGCAGCCCTGGGCCGCAACAGCGTTAAGTCCAGTTGTCTCTCCGCCAACCGCGACGTCACCACCTACACTGGCAGCCAGTGCGGCAACGGAATTGTCGAGTCCGGCGAAGACTGCGATTGTGGCGGGGAAGATGGTTGCGGCGACAACAACTGCTGCGACGCGAAGACATGCAAGTTCAAGTCGGGAGCTGTGTGTGATGACTCCAACGACAGCTGCTGTTCAAGCTGCCAATTCTCCTCAGCTGGGACGGTATGTCGTGCCAGTCGCGGCGACTGCGACGTGGCAGAGACCTGCAGCGGCAACTCCAGTACTTGTCCTACCGACTCGTTCAAGAAGGACGGCACGAGCTGCGGCAGCAGTGGCTCGGGACTTGCCTGCGCTAGTGGCCAATGCACCAGCCGCGACTACCAGTGCCGCAGTGTGATGGGCAGTCTCCTCCACAGCAACGACACCTACGCCTGTTCCTCCTTCAGTTCCTCCTGCGAACTGGTCTGCACCTCCCCGAAGATCGGCACGTGCTACAGCGTCAACCAAAACTTCCTCGACGGCACTCCCTGCGGTAGTGGCGGCTACTGCAGCAACGGCGACTGCAAGGGCCAAAACGTCGAATCCTGGATCAAGAACCACAAAGGTATCGTCATTGGTGTCGCCTGCGCCGTAGGCGCCCTGATCCTTTTGGCCCTGATGACCTGCATCGTAAACCGCTGTCGCCGGGCTCGCGCGCCAAAACCCGTCCCGCGTCCAGTGCCTTACGGGCCGTGGCCCGGCGCTAGGCCTCCCCCGCCGCCGCCCATGAACCAGTGGCCGGCGCGAGGCTATCAAGGCTTAGGGAATGAGCCGCCGCCCCCGTATCCAGGTGTACCTGGTCAGCCAGTACCGCAACATATGCCTCCCCAGGGGCGGTACGCTTGATTGACGAGACTTCTTCTGTGCTTCTTTCCATGCGATATAGTATGCATTACGATTCTTGCAGCACTAGCATTACAAATGTGACGATTACTTCATTGATCCTTTATTGACCTTACATTCTTGTCTTGGAGTGGAGGCGTGTTCTAGAGTTTTGGTTTGATGCTGAATTGTTCTTTTCTATACGGGGGTCTGGGCGTTTCGTGAATTGCAGTACTTACAATCCAGGGGTGCAATCCCCAGGGGGTTGGTTCGCGTCTTCTTTCCCTTTCTTTGCCCATATTAGACGGGGCCGTGGGATGTATGGTCGGGGTCTGATGTATGTATTCCTGCCGTGTATAATGAACTTTTCCGTCATAATATATTGCTTCTTGTAGATAGTATAGTAGGTACCACTCAACTTAGCATAGTAAACAGAAAAGACCTTCGATATTTATAATTCCTATTTTCATTGCATAGTTAATATTCCCAAATCAATTGGCGCCAGTCCATGCACAGTACGTAGTAGATAATTAGACGTGATCAACAAAGCAGACAGACAGACAGAGAGACACCAACGAGTTAACAAGACCATCCATCCATCCATCATCCACACCAAAACCAAACAAGCAGGGTTTTCCCCATCCAATCCACATAAACCCAACGAACCATCCAACCTCAAGAATCGACACAAAAAGTGGAAGGGGATAAAAAAAAATGGTATAAAATAATCACTGCCAACAAATTCCCACAAACGCCTCCCTGGTAACACCCCCGACACCCTCCAAATCAAACTCCTCAATCATAGCCCTCAGTTCCTCCTCCTCGAGTCCCGTCTCACCCAACTCCCTCGCCACGCGCCTCAAATCTTCCAGATCAATGTACCCCTTTCCACCTTCATCGAAGAGTTCGAACGCGCGCAGGATCTCGTCGCGTGGATCCCGCTCCAGTATCTTCAGCGCCGTGACGGCCTGGAAGGCCGATAGTGGCATGAGCAGATTACTCGGGTGTTGAGGGTTCGTAGTAGCTGCTGCGCGGTTTTGTTGTTGCTGGGGTGGGGGAGGGTTGCCGCCTGCGGAAGGGTTCTGTTGTTGTTGGACTTGGGGACGCGGAACGCCGTAGGTGGTTAGGAGGGAGATGAGCTCTTGTTTGGGGAGGGTGAAGCCTAATGCGCGGAAAGCGACGCGGAGTTCGTGGTAGTCGAGATGGCGGTCACGGTCGAGGTCGAAGAGGGTGAACTATTTAGTGATTCTGTTTAGTATGTTGCCTTTTGAGATGCAGTGTATGTTTGTTGGGAAGGGGAAGAAGGGAGCAGTACAGCTTCGTTGATCTCTTCGCGTTGCTCTTCTGTCAATCGGTTCAAGGGATTCGTGTCTTGTTGGGGTTGTGAATGCATCGGTGGTTGCGGTGGTGCTTGCGATGGACCTGGTGCCTGTTGGCTGGCTTTGGGGTCGGCGAAGTCGCCGGCCGTGGGAGCGCCGGGCGCGCCGGCGAGACTGCGGTGTCGCGAGAAGGAGGAGGCGCTGAAGGGAAGGGCGTTGACGTTGATAGATCGGTCGGGGAGTTTGCCCGAGGCGTAGGAGCGCGTGCCGAAGGGTTGTGAGGAAGCCATTGTGTTGGTTGATGGTGGTGTGGTTTTAGGTCGGTGAGAGGGACCCCGACCGCGGTCGGTCGGTGGGGGGTGGAGGGTGAGGATCAATGGAGGGGGTGTGTTGGTGCAAGGAGTTGGGAGAGTGGGATTGGTTGTGCGATGAGTAGAGTGACAGGTTGTAAGGGGGGGAGGGGGTGGTGCAGTGGGTAAACAATCTGGAGACTTTGAGGCGATGAGATGAAGAGCTGGAGGAGGAAGAGGAGAGAAAGATGGAGGTGGAGACGCGATGGAGACGCGAGGCGGCTGTTTGATTGGCGGCGGAGTCTAACCTGGAACACGTTTGGTTTGAACATCCTACTAACTTGGTACCGATTAGTTGGTAGACTAGAAGTCTAAAATGTAGGAAGCAGTTATCTGTCCTATGTACTCAATTGTATCTACCATGGTCTATATCTTTCGGTAGAAAGTATGCGTGAGGCTGTCCCTGGCATGTACTCCTGGCAACTGGCCGTGGTTACTCCGTCATACTCCTACCCAACCGCCCAATGCGCAGTTTCCTGTGCCTGGACAGGGGAAAAGCTTTTTCTGGTAAGCGCCTGTACAAGTTTGATGGGCTCCGTCTGATCCAGCAGATGTCTTTTACGCCCCATATCTGACATTGGCATGCTGCCAATGGTGGAGGCGATCGAGGTGCTTTCATGCAAGCATATTTGTGCCATCAGGCACACGCTGGCTCTGCGTGGCCTTGTGTGATGATCGAGGGCGAGCCAATGGCATTGGCAGGTTTATACTGCCTCATTGACATGAACATGAGTAGTCTACCTCATGAGATCTGGGTCCACCTGATGTCCTAGATCGGGATCCTCCAAGAACTTCCGTCCCAAAATCTTTTCCGGGAGATAGTCCTGGACGACCTCCCCGTCGACATAGTTAGGATTATACTTGTATTCCTTGCCGTATCCGAGCTCCTTCATCAACCGAGTCGGCGCATTGCGCAGATGGATCGGAACAGGCAGCCCAGCAACGCCGGGCTCTGCTAGCGCAGCAAATGCATTGTTCAGGCCGCGGTACGACCGCGTGCTCTTCTTTGAGAGTGCCATGGCAACGGTCGCATGTGCCAGATTGATCCGTGCCTCCGGTAGGCCGATCTTTTCCACAGCCGCGTGGGTCGAGATGGCTAGCGTGAGCATGCTGTTGTCCGCAAGCCCAATGTCCTCCGAAGCGACGACGATGAGACGTCGAGCGATATAGAGGGGGTCTTCTCCCGACTGGATCATGCGAGCAAGATAGTAAAGCGCCGCATCCGGATCGCTCCCCCGGATGGATTTGTGAAAAGCGGAAATGGTATCGTAGTGTTGATCCCCGGCCCGATCATAGACAAGGGTCTTAGTCAATGACCGCTTGATCTCATCCTTGGTCATTCCAGGCCGTTTCGACAGATCCATGGCGAGCTCTAGAAGATTAAGGGACGTCCGCGCGTCGCCATCGGCGAACCTGGCCAAGTAATCAATCAATTCTTCATCGACCAATTCCGAAGGCGAATAGTTCGGCCCCTCCAGCCGTAGTGCTCGATGAAGGATCGATTTGATATCTTCGTCTGTAAGTTTGGAAAGAGTAAAAGTCCGACACCGGGACAGCAGAGCGTTCTGCACCTTGAAAGAAGGGTTCTCCGTGGTAGCACCAATAAGCGTTACCTGCCCACTTTCTACTGGTCCCAGAAATACGTCTTGTTGAGACTTGGAGAATCGATGAATCTCGTCACAGAAAATGATGGTCTTCCGTCCCGTCAGACCGAGCTCACTTTTCGCATCGGAGAAGATTTTCTTGCACTCCGCAACTCCCGAACTGGTACTGTTGATCTCAACGAAGCGGCTACCAACCATCGAAGCAATCACGCGAGCAATGGTTGTTTTTCCTGTTCCTGGACCACCCCAAAGAATCATACTCGGAACCCGATCTTGCTCAATCAAGCCCCGAAGCACTCCGTTTGGCCCTACAAGCTCTTGTCCGCAGACATCGTCAAGAGTCCGAGGACGCATGCGTTCCGGTAAAGGCGCAGCCTTTTGCAAGGCGCTAACTTTTGGCTTCTTTGGTTCGCTCGACGGTTGGCTGGGCCCGGATCTCTCGTATACCTCCGATGAGTTGGCATCGTGCGGCGTCGCCCGTTTGCCGTTGACATTGCGCAGTGGGGAGGAAGTCACATTTTGATCTCGCTGTCCATTTGCCTGAGCAGACTGGGCAGAAGCTTTCTTAGCAGAGGCTGGCTGGAAGAAGCTGGGAACCGGAGCTTTCTGAGTGGCGGGAGTCTCCCCCGAGCTGGGCGGCTCTTCGATAAAGTTCTGGCAGTCGGAATCGATGTGGTCGTTAATCTTTAGGGACGAGACGGACTGGCTGCAGATGGGACAAGACACCATGATGGCGGTTAGTCATTAGAATCGTAGAAGAAGCGCTGCCAGCAAGCTGGGTGCAGAGCAGCTCCCAGTGGCGGCCATGGAAATCGAGCTATCAAATCACTTGGATTAACAGGTGAAACGCGTTTCCGACGCGCGCGATAAGCCGGGCTGACTAAGAACAGTCGTACCCAGTGCCTGGGTGCCTGAGGAACTCGTGCGTCATCTCCGATGCTCGCTCACTCCTTGAACGAGAACCACAGTCAATAGCAAAGAAGCATTCATTCATACTGCATCAATTGCTTCGTTGATAGTTTTCAAACCACGTCTGGTCGATACTTGCGCATTAAACACCGAAGCCCGTCCCGAACAGCCCGTTATCCGCTTCCATCGGAGGTCACCTCTGCCTACTACTACTACTACCACTACCACCGCTATACTTGAGGTAGGGATGCACATGCCGGAGGATGGCGGACAGTTAATCAATGCCCTTTCGTCCTTCAAGTACTAAATCTCCTATTCGGCATAGTAATCGTGTCGAAATAGTCTCTAAGTCTAAGCAAGACTGCGGAACGGCATCTTATCAGCGCTGTCCGACCCAGCAAAGCACGCAATTATAGTTGGCGGCTGCCAAAGCGAGTCCCGCTCTGCCTCCCCGGATCTGACTCTCTCTTTCGCTACCTTTCGTACCACTCTCCTCTTTCTCTTCTTTTCTCCCCCGCTCTCCTCCAATTCCTCGGCCCAGCTGCCTCTATGTTCTCTGGCCACCGCGCTGCTTTTTTCTCTACCAGAGCCATCAAGATTCAGCCCTCGCTGGCCGTTACCCTGCGCCCCTTGTCAACTCCTACACTACCCCGCCAGCCATTCTCCCGAGCGATGTCGGCCACCACGGCTCGTCCCGACCCTTTCAAACCGGCGGCCAGAGTCGCTGGCCAGAGACAAGATGTCTGGTGCGATGCGCATGAATGTTCACATTGCTGCTTCTCAGTGTCTGACCGGATCGCAGGTCCATTGTCAATGAAGCCGCCGCTGCCTCCCCCGTCCAGCCCATCGTGAACATGGGACAGGGTTTCTTGTGAGTGATAAATCGCCGAAGATGGATGACTCGGAGTTCCTGACCTTTTTTCTACTTGCGCAGTGGCTATAACCCTCCCAAGTTCGCCCTGGATGCCGCCAAGGAGGCCCTTGACCGTGTGGAGTGCAACCAATACTCCCCCACCAAGGTACAGCCGGATTGCGACATATTCATACCGGAACACTTGCTCACCTTCGATTAGGGACGCCCGCGTCTCAAGAAAGCCATCGCCGATGCCTACTCGCCTTCCTTTGGCCGGACTCTCAACCCGGACACCGAAGTTACCATCACCACAGGTGCAAATGAAGGTGGGACATACTCTGTTGCGTGCGTGACTGGTAGCTGACGAGTTGTCCAAGGTATGCTGAGTGCGTTCATGGGCTTCATCGAGCCCGGCGACGAGGTGATCATCTTTGAACCTTTCTTCGACCAGTGAGTCACTTCTATTCTTGCCATGCGAACCCTTCTAATGGCCCCAAAGGTACATTAGCAACATCGAGATGCCCGGAGGAAAGATCCGCTATGTCCCTCTTCACCCTCCCAAGGATGGCGCGACGAGGACTTCCCCCGCCTCCGAGTGGACGATAGACTTTGAGGAGTTGGAGAATACCATCAACGACAAGACCAAGATGATTGTAAGCCTGACCTTACTTCCTAGTTCATACTGCTATAGTACTAACCATCCTCATTAGGTCCTGAACTCCCCGTAAGTAACCTAACAAGTGACCATCTCAAGCCGCAAACTGACCAAGCACAGTCACAACCCCGTTGGCAAGGTCTTCTCGCGCGCTGAGCTGGAGCGCATTGGAGAGATCTGCGTGAAGCACAACCTGATCATCCTCTCCGACGAAGTCTACGACCGCCTCTACTACGTCCCTTTCACCAGAATCGCTACCCTGTCTCCTGAGCTCTACGAGCGCACTCTCACCGTCGGCTCTGCCGGCAAGGCCTTCTACGCCACTGGCTGGCGAGTAGGATACCTCGTCGGTCCCGAGCATTTGATCAAGTACGTGGCCGGCGCGCACACCCGCATCTGCTACAGCAGTGTGTCTCCTCTTCAGGAGGCTGCCGCCGTTGCTTTCGAGCAGGCCGACAAGGTCGGATTCTGGGACGAGAGCCGGAACGAGATGAAGAAGAAGATGGAGCGTTTCTGCGAAGTCTTTGACGAGCTCAAGATTCCCGTGAGTATTCCATTGCTAGAATTTCTCCGGGCCTGAACTAACCCCAGCTCGCAGTATTCGGACCCCGAGGGAGGCTACTTCGTTCTTGCCAATATGTCTTCGGTGAAGCTTCCCGAGGACTACCCATTCCCTCCTCACGTTGCCAGCCGTCCTCGTGACTTCAAGCTGTGCTGGTTCCTGATCCATGAAGTCGGTGTGGCAGCCATCCCTCCCACTGAATTCTACACTGACGCCAATGCACACATTGCGGAGGACTATCTCCGCTTCGCTGTCTGCAAGAATGACGATGTGCTGGAGACTGCCAAGGAGAGACTGCGCGGTCTGAAGAAGTATATTGCATGAGCGTTTCAACATGTCTGATTAATATGACGGGCTAGCATAGAGCGGGAGTCTGATCTTGCCTTCAACGGCTGATTAAAAACTATATAGGAAGAATAGAGGACTAAAACAGTCTGTTTGGCACACAAGTCAATTCCATTTATTCTTTATCATGATATCGCACATTCGTTCTTCATGTATGTCACATTACCAACAACTAAATGAGCGTATCTCAACCATATTACACAATGAAATCCACCTCACAGACTATGCATCGTATCAACCCGAGTCCCCTATTCCCCCCGCCTTTGCCTCAAATTCCCTGCTCCAGAGCAACAAATTCAAAGCCGAAAACAGAAAGAAAGAAAAGAGACCACGGCAGGTAGCCAGATAGACACAACTCAACGAACCAGCGTCATGTCAGCATCACATCCTGCCCACCCTACCATCATCATCCTCGGGCCAAACAACGGAACCCAGTACCTATCTTCCACACTCCCCTCCCCTACTCACTCACTACTCATCCCCCTCATTAAACCCCTCTATCTCCATATCACCCGAACCCGCCCCATCCCACCCATCCCCCCTTCTAAAGGCCCGTCTATCTTCCTCCGCCACCTCCGCATACCCCTCCCCCATCATACGTTTCATCGCATCCTTCACACTAGGGTGGGTCGTCCTGGCTGCCCTCAGAATCCAATAAGTTGACTCGAGCGTCTCAATCATCCGACTGTATCCTCTTCCACCAACGGATCCTAGCAGCCGACGATACTCAGCCCGACACACCGGATCCTGACAATTACGGCGGTTTCGGCCGTCCCAGTCTGTTTCACAGGCGTGACGAGAGCCAGTGATGCGCTCTTGGATGGTCACATTAAATTCTTGCAGGAATTGGTAGCGCAGGGAGGGTTCAATGTGGTTGGGAGCGTTGGCCAGGCGCAGTTTGTCGCGGATTAGACGGTAAAGATAGTCGGTCAGATCAGGGAGTTCGATGGTCACTATGTATTTCGGGGTTGGTTAGTTGTCTGTAAATTAGAAGAGGAAGAAGGTAGGGATCTCACTAAAGAGGCAAGCCGCCAGAACACGACGGAATCGATCTTTCTCTGCCGCATCATCAAATTTAACCACGTACATTATTCTATTCGAACATCGTATAGCCGTTTTATCACCTGGTAGTCCGGCGGTAACAAAATCCAGCCAGTCCGTGAAGATGAAGTAATCGCCTTCTCTGGCATTCATATTGAAGTGCACGGCTTGGCGATGACGCTCCGGCATGTCGTAGTGATGCAGGCACGGGATGAGAGGAGGTCCAGCGCGGACTCGTCTTGGGATTGAGGTTTCACGACATGGGTGTTGAAATACCATCTGTCCGCAGTAGAGCCAGTGAGGTTTGATGTCCTCAAGTAGGTGGGCTCTACTGCAATACCGTACTTCGGAGTAGGGCCCGCATCGTGGACAGATCACTGTTGCTCCGTCCCAGAGGTTGCAGCGTTTCTCGCAGTGGGCTTTGGCACAGGGGAAGCCGTGGCTGTCAAGTTGCCAAAAGAACCCCTCTGGTTTCTGGGCGGAGAGGGTGCCCTGGGCGTTAGTTATGGTAGCGTTGGCTGTCGACAGGGAGTGGGAATGGGTGCTACTTGGGGGTGTGGGTGGTAGGGGATGGGCGTGGTGAAGACTAGTGGCGTGGCGATGGCTGACTGCCTTGGACGAGGATGGTTCAGAAGACGGCTCAGTCGTTTGTGGGCTGATTTGCAGTGCTGTGCTGCTCCAGCCAGTGGATACTGTGGACACAGGGGTCGAGATTGGGTTGTCAAGTGAACTGGAACCTGCGGTTTCTAGGTCCGTTTGACTGAGCGGTATGTCGTTGGAGTTATCACCTGCAAATTCACCTGATATTTCCGGAATAGGCGAGAGCTTTGCATGACCGGAGCGTGCTTCAGGACTGCTATCCTGTCCGGCGGAAGTCTTGTCTGTGAGTTTGGGGAATTCCATGGTCGTCGGTAGGAGGGAATCACTGTTGTTTGGCATAGAAGATGGACCCTCGATACTGGCACGTTTTCCAGAAAGGACCGTGGCATATGAAGGAGCGAGCACAGTTCTTCTCGCCCTGTCCACCGGTTGGGGACCACGCTGTGTATTTATCTCCTCCAATGTATCGTTGCCTGTGACTGCGTTCACTTGCCAGACCCGCTGCTTGCCTTTGATGTCCAACTTGCTTAGTGACTCTATCAAATCTCGCTTCTTGTCACTGTCCACTGTACATCTCTCAGACACATTGCTGCCTGACATGGGCTTTTCTTTATTTGCACAGCCGCCAGAGTTCAGGCCTTTGGCTGGCATCCAAGCAGAGTGAGACAAGTCCTCTATTTCTTTCATATGAGACGAAGTATCATTCGAAGTATTCGATTCCGCGGTAGGCTTACCGTTCAATCCAGAGCCCTGGCTCCCAGAAGTCTCGCTTTCGGAATCACCTAGCAGGAGTTTCTTCTTCTTGTACTTATTCTTCTTCATCTTATTCCTTTTGGCCTTTGAATCCCCAGGAGGTTCCATCACCACAATCCGGGGAATCGAAACAGCCTGTTGGCTGTCGTCAGCTTGCTCGCTAGAACAGCCTTCTTGGGTATCCCTTGGTGTTGATGATCGAGAAATAGTCCGCGCACGTATGAGGCTTATGGCGCCGGACCGCGTGTTGCTATCTTCGTTCTCACTCTTCGCTTCTTCTCCTGCATCATGGAAACTTGTCAGTATGTCTTCCTGCATTGTGTATGTGGATAGAGGAAAGGATAGATGCGTTCAGGCTTGGCTCACCTGAACGGACACTATCCAAGCTTTGTGGGTGCATATTTGTGTTCATGATGGTGTTGGGGATGTATCTGTACCTGTTGTTCCCGTGACCAGACAAGCGAGATGAAGTGAATATGCTCACCTTCTCGACTGCACTGTTGGTTCTGTTTGCTCTTCCAAGCTATGGAGGCGGTCTTAGTTGTGCAAATTCATTCAACAAGTGTTTCTTCAAGTGATGGTGATAATCCAGAAAGGGACGCTACAACATCAGTTCACTTCTTTCACTGGATCTTCTGGCTAGCAGACCTGGCATATTGCATACAGAGGACTTTCATGTCAGTCTTACTGCCCCTCGCTAGATATAAGGCTAGATTGTGAGGGAGGATGCAACGCCAGCAGAATGGGAGATCGTTTGTGAGTGTACAGCCAGACTCTGTCTAACAGGCTACTCTGCGTGACCATGGTGCGTGCCTTGACAATGACTACTAACGCTATTTATGTAAATACCTATCTAATAGGGAACAAGTAATAACAGACCTCTGTGCCGCAATACATCTGGGAATTCGCTTACTCCGTACTTTGGCACAGGGTTGTAGGGAGACATGCGATAAATCTGCAGACCAGCCTGCGGAATGCCACAACCATAAGATACTTATGCCACCACGAAGCGGAACCGACCGGGATATATTATACACTGCTCTATTATTGATGGTCAATGTTCTTCAATGCCTCAGACATCACAATCAGTATACAGGGAGACGCGCAGATCAGGAAGGTAGAGAACATTTGGGTTGGGCAGACATCACTCTGTCTGGCAGGTGAATCTCCTTCTACTGTCATATGATCATTCCATTCAGAACCATTACTGCCTACAGCAAGCTTTCTTGTAGTGACTCGTCTCATTGCAGGAGCAAATAGGAGTGCTAGTAGGAAAGGCATGGCGGGTATATGAGACACTCCTGATTCAGATGTGCCAGTGTATGCTAATTCATTGCTGTCACTCACACCAGATCTTCAAAAGAGTAGAACCCGCAGCATCATTCAATGTGAAGATGTCTAAACAGCTCAGAAACACGGTTGCCTTCATCTGGTTTGCTTGTGGGCGTTGGACATCACGTGCCCGTTCATTTCATCCAGAATCCAAACGGCCAACCCAACTTGGAACTTCTCTTCAACCGCCCTCCTTCTGTCGTCCATCAGGGGATATATTTAGAACCTCGACGTGAGTCAAAAATAAAAGATTAGCTTCAAGTTTTGTCAAAATCTGCAGCTCTGAACCAGTCAAGTGTTCAATAATAGACGGATCTTCCCCTTCCTAGCAGCAACATGCAACGGGAAGCGCCGCCAACCCCCAGGGCATCAAGCAAAGAGCCATTAGGATCAGGCTTCACTGTTTGAAACTACCTAACCGCCTCTCCTGGTGCATCTTGCAATGTTGTGGGGTCTAGTTGTGCTGGATCGCGGATTGGGCTACAGCGCCGTATCCTAAGCGCCGACACGGTACCTATATTTGGCTGGCCTGCAGAACTCTGAAGAACTCACCGGCATAGGCTCTACCTACAGACACTGCGCTAGATGAAACTTATCGTGCAGATCGACCCGATCAGCTGCAGCCTTTGGCCTTATTATTTGCTATCCTTGTTGACGCTGGCCGCTCTTACTGGCTGCCGTTGGCCGTGTCTTCAACCTGTCTTTGTCTCAGCTATTATTGACCTGGTCACAATGGAAGTCGGTCTGTTGACTCTCTCGCCCATAATAAGGCGGGGATATCCTCCTTATTGTGACATTGCTATTGATTCTACTTCTTTCATCTATTGTTCTTAGGTGTTTTTTTTTTTTGTTTCTACCCCCACCGTACAGCTTTTTTTAAATCTATAGTTTGGTCATGCAGTACGGCTTCTCAACAATTGCATCTGGTTCATTTGAATAATTACTGCTGGTCAGGATTGTTCTTTCTTTGACATCTCGTCTACCAACTTTCTATACCCTCTGTGATAGACCTCCTTTATTTGCACGATCCTCAACAGCTGGACTCACTTGGATTTTACAAACTCATTCCTCCACAGAATCACTCCCTACACATATAGCGTATTTTCGACATGTTGTTTTCAAAATCCGGTCGGACCATCTTTCCACTGCTACCACCCTATGGGGTTCAAGATCCCAACGGCGTTCAAGGTCGAGTCATCCCTGTACACCCTGATGGCTCGACACCTTACCTAGGCCTGCGGGCGCGCCTTTCCCAAGTATGGCTTAACCGCTGGACCGTTTTGCTGCTGCTAGTCCTTGCCCGAGTGCTGATGGCTGCCTCGAGCATAAAAACGGACATGAATCGAGCCAAAAGCGAGGCCCTTTCGGCATGCACAAGCGTGGAATCTATGGGCGATGCCATGGTCTCTATGCCCCATTACCTGGCGGAAGGGGTCAATGAGCTCACAGCAGATGGTGTCAATGCGGCAATTGATGGCCTAAAAATGCTCCTCATGCTTACCTTGACTGGCGTAGAGGAGTTGGTGATTTTCTTCGTCAAAGTGATGTACCAGACATATCTGTGCTTGTTCACGCTCGTCGTACATGGTGTGGTTGATGTTGGACTCAGCTTAATCGAAGATGTAACAGACGTTCTGAATTCCACGGTCAAGACTGTGGCGAAGGATATTGCTAAGGTCACCGAGACGTTTGAGGACGACTACAATACTCTGATATCGAAGATAAACGGGGTTGCCAGCTTATTCGGAGGATCAGTTCCGACCCTGAATATCAGCAGCGAAATCGACAAACTGGAGAATGTACAGCTGTCTTCGTCCATCGATAAGGATCTCCAGAAGATTAACGACTCCATCCCAAATTTCAACGAAGTCATGAACTTCACTGAGAATGTGATTCGTTTTCCCTTCGATGAAGTCAAAAAACTGGTCAACGAGTCACTAGGCAATTACACTTTTAATGCCTCCGCACTCCCTGTCCCTGCGAAGAAGACACTGACGTTTTGCGATAAAAACGATGGGATCAACTCATTTTTTGCCGGAGCAACTGATATAATCCTAACCGCCCGCAAGATATTTATCGCCATTTTGGTCGTCGCTGCCATCATCGCTTGCGTTCCCATGGCCTGGCAGGAGATTCGGCGCTGGCACACGATGAAGGAGCGCTCCCAACTTGTTCGCAAGGAAGCTCATGATCCCATGGACGTCGTTTACATAGTCTCCAGACCTCACACGGCCGCAATAGGTATCAAAGCCGCCAGTCGATTCAGCAACAGCCGCAGACAGATTCTTGTGCGCTGGGTGATCGCATATGCGACCTCCCCCGCAGCCTTATTCGTCCTCCTTCTCGCACTGGCTGGGCTTCTCTCATGCCTCTGCCAGTTCATCCTTCTCAGCGCCGTCAAGAGGACAGTGCCGGAGCTCTCCAACGAAGTAGGCGACTTTGCCGAAGAGGTTGTTGATGTCTTACAAAATACATCTGCTCAATGGGCCAACGATGCCAACAAAGTCATCCAAAACGTTGACGATGAGCTCAACGATCACGTGTTTGGTTGGGTCAACACCAGCACCGGCGCTTTGAATGACACGCTGAATACCTTTGTCAACAAAACAATCGGGGTCCTCAACGACACCTTTGGTGGAACCCTACTCTATGAACCTCTTCTCGACGTCTTTGACTGCTTGGTTGGCCTCAAAGTTGAAAGCGTCCAGAAAGGCCTTACTTGGGTTTCCGATCATGCCCACATAGACTTCCCCCTCCTCCCCAACGACACCTTTTCGCGCGGTGCAGAAGGGAGTCTCAACAGTTCCGATGCATCAGAGAGCTTCCTCGCCGACGCCGGTGACGAGACATCCAACAAGATCACCGAAGTTGTGTACAAGGTCATCAGCGCTCTCGAGAAGGCTCTCCTAATAGAAGTCATCATTGCTTCATGCATCCTTCTGGTCTGGGTCATAAATGCCATGTTTGGCATCATCCGCGCCCTAACACTCTTCTGGGGCCGGGACAAGAACCGTGGTGAGGGCGGACCTGCTCCTCCCAATTCACGACCGAACCCAGGCTCTGGACCGGACTCGCATGGTTTCATCGATGTGCCCCTAACTTCTCTTCCGAGTCACCGTGACGCCGATGAGACTGCTGCGCGCTCGCAGCCGGCACCCCGATATGAAGTTGCGACCAGCCAGGGAAGTTCTGCCGCCGTGGTGAGCAGCGAATTGGAGTATCCGGACGAGAAAGTCGGGTTCGCAGGCCAGCGCAATGCTCTTCGAGTGGATGGGGTGTCGGATCTACGCGGGAGCAGCTATGTGGAGTATGGAATAGAGAAGTATTGATCTGCTGGCCTATTCCCTATTCATGGTGATTCGAACTCGCCGTCCTACCAACTTTTTGTTTCTTAGCCAGCTCGTACTCCCTCGCACTTTCCTTGAGCGTCTACCATATACCCATAGACCATAATTCTAACTCAATACACTCTTTAATCCAGCCCGTACAATATCTAGAATCATCTCAGGTCAGTCCATGCGCTGTATACCATACCAGGAACGGAAGTTGTTTACCTTCTCCCTGAAGGAACTTAGAAATAAGGTTTTCGATTTGCACCAAATGGCCGCTACTAATGCCCGCGCCCCACCGTCTACCAAACTACGGCCCTTTGTATACCGAATAACAGTTAGGTGACGCTTGGTTCATGATGAGCCAGGAGGACGCCCACAACTCTTGCAAGATTCAGGGTTGGTCGAGCAATCCAGAAGACTCAGATCACGACCAATGTGGCGAAAGCGACACCGAAAAGACGTGGTTCCCTGGCGATGGGATCTGTCCACCAACTTCAGAGTTCCTGGCCTGCTGTCGAGCCAGCTATCAGCTTTGGGCCCATGCAGCATCGTCCCCACGGCCAGACGATGGACTTCTCATTACCCGTATTACCCGGGCCTTTGTGAGGATGCTCGAAAATGTTCCCCGTTTTCTCTATCATCCGCCCAAAAACGTTGAAGTTCTCGGAACGTCAGGCACACGTTTGACTGTGCAGCCATCCCTCCGCATGCGAACCACAGAAGATATGGATTGTACGCAGCACTATAAGTGGTTGGATGTTGTTCAATGCCTCGGGGTTCCAGTACCTAAGTCTTACGAAATGACCACCATGCAACAGCAAGAGATCTCTCTCACCTCAGCACCCCTGAAACGTGGTCATCTAACTAGTATTATATTGGCTTGGTCGTACATCCTTTCGTGTCGATGGGTTGAGATCCTACAAGAGGCTGGATGGAACGCTTCCATTCAGCATGAGAAAGGTTTGCAGATCGCCGACAGCTTCTGGAAGTTAGTTACACAAGGTCGCTGGCAGGCTAGCGTAAAGACCGCGAAGGGTACACATTATTCACCATGGATGTTAATAGAAAGTAACAGGAACCTGAAGCTTCAGAAGTGGTACGGTAGGCTTCCGTCTTGGATCGTCGGATTCGGCTAACACGCTGTGTATGACACTGGCAGTTGGGCTCGATCGTCTGCCTCATTGTCGGCCTTTGAGATGCTCCTGGGATCCTGCATTTCAGAAGGTCTTGAGGCTGAGCTTCTTACTGGACTGGCTTCGGTTCTGATGCTCCTATCACGAAATGAACGGCCATGGCTGAGTCCGCCGACTTCTATCCCCAAAACCCCCACGACCCCAGCTTCCACTTGCTCTGCTAGGAGTCACGCCCTTTACAAGCTCTGGGGTTGTCTTGACAAGGCCATGTATCTCAGTTCCACGAGAGCTGCTATTGAATCATTGATCCGTAGCGCTTTCTTTGATTCGTCAGTTCCTTGTGATCTTCTGGGAGCCTCCTTTTCCGGTATAAGAGAGGCGCTTTCCTCTGCAGATGAGTTTGACCCTCAGCGAGCGTTACATGCAATCACCAACCGGAGGCCACATTTGAGCCCGTTGTGGGCTGCTGAGATATGCATGGATCCAGACACTCTTTCGTATGAAGTCCTCGATTGTTTGCCACCTATCTGCCTGCCTGCCGCCCTCTGGACGGGTACAATGCAGTCATTCCTCCAGGTGGCATATCGGTCCGACGAACCAGCAGATCTAGAAGCAAAATTACTTCGTGCCCGAGAGTTCCAAATCGCTTACTTCTGCCAACCTAGTATACCCGTCCCAGAGACACCTGCTCCTCCATTCGGTGAAACGATCTTGAACAACGTCAGCCGTGAGGTTGAAACACACATGGCACATGAACATATGACTAGGTCGTGGCAAATGTACTGGACAACTAAATCTGGGGCGAAGAAACCGGCGACCGCACAATATGTACTTGAACTTGTAGAAGCTCGAATGGAGAAGGATGTTGCTGACTACAACTTTGACGAAGAGTAAGTATGATAACTTCTCGGCGCCAATGCACTTGCTGATGTGTTTGAAGATTCCCAATCAAGTTAAGAGAGGCCGTGGACGAAATTTCATGTTGTGCAACAAGACGAATGTTCAATTGGCATCGAGAATACGATGGCGGCATTTCGCTTGATGATGGAACCATGAGTCCTGAAACCGTTCGTTGCTTGCAAGCACATCCATGGATTTCGGGCCCATTGATTGACTCTAACAAGTCTATCCAAGTTGGTGGAGAGAATGATCACTGGGATGACAATACCCAACGTATTACAATTCAGAAAGAGGTGAAAGGCGGTGTTTCAACCAGTGATTATATTTTGGAGTGGCATAAAGAGGTAGAGAGATGCCTAGGGTCTGAAGACGCCAGAGTCTCTAGTTGAACTCATTAGTTCCCGTGATACTCCGCCGAAGGCCAAAGTATTCATGGATCGATTGTTTCTCTATCTCATTTGCGGCGGAAATGTATTTGCTAGGCTAATAATTCTCAGAATGATACAGTGATTACTACAAGTCCATTATTGATACCACTAGCATCATGCTACAGTCAGCCAACCGGTCAAAAAATAGCCTCTCTTCCCAACTGCATACTAGTATCTGGTAGCTACTCTAACCTCCAACCAGTAACTTGAAATAATATAACTGTCTCTATCCCAAGACCAAAATCATCTCCACGAAGCACCACCGTGAAGAAGAATACATCTAAATAAGTTAACATATAGCATACATGACTCTCCCTTCATGTACCACAGCTCATGATGGAAGCAATATACATTAGAGTCGGTTTATGCAAGTCGCATGGCTTGATGTTGCCGAGCGGGAAGAATTAGATCCAGTCATCTGCACACATTGAATGCTACAAGAAATACTCTGGGCTATAAGCAAAGATAGACTCTGCACGGTCCAATGCTTATTCGCGTGCAGGATAACTAGTGTATGACTTTGCATTAATGGCCATAAATATACTGTAACCCGAGTCTAGGACAGGAAAGAACATGATGACTTGATATACTACTATATAGTGAGTGACCTGTTCTGTGGGAGATACTACTCATGTTTATCCACCCAAAAAAAAAAGAATATGAGATCAAGACAAGATGAAACGAGAATTACATGTAACTGGTCGGTCGTTATATTCAGTGAACTAACTGATAATGGTATCGTATCATGCTGCTTATATCGCTACAAAGAAACTCTTCTCGCCCTCCTTCGGCACCACGCGTGCCCGTTCAATAATCGGATCAGCACAGCTGACCCGGATCCGCTCCGGAGTCGCTGGACTCTCTAGCCGCAATACTTCCTTGACGTTCCATTGCTGGCGCGCCGCCTTGAGCGCATCGCGGATAGCAAAGAAGACAGCGCTGCCCATGAACAGCGGCGGTTCGCCAACACCACGGGATCGCTGGATAGTCCGCAGGTTCTCCCACTCCACGTCCTTCAGTAGACTGACGTTGAAGATCTGAGGGATATCTCGGAATCCAGGGATCTTGTAGTTTCCGGGGCCCTTGGTGAAGATCTGTCCCGACGCCCGGTGCCACAGACTCTCTTCGGTGGTGAAAAGACCCTGGCCTTGGATGAAAGCGCCTTCGATCTGTCCGTAGTCGATCGATGGGTTGATGGTACGACCAACATCCATCTTGATGTCAGCACGCAAAGGAGTCCAGTCGCCTGTGAGCGTGTCAATCTGTACTTCAGCGGCCGTTACACCCTGTGTGAAGTAGAAAAACATCTGGCCCTTGTTTTCGCCCCACACGTAGCCAATGTCAGGAGTACGGTAGTATCCCTGCGCGGAGAGGTTGACCCGGTCAAAGTAGGCTGCGTGAGCGAGGTCTTTCATAGTGGCTCCCGGCATTTTCTCCCGGTACGGCTTAAGACGTTCATTGAGCTGCTCACAAGCGTTGTAGATGGCGTAGCCATTGAGATCAGAACTGGCCGACGCAGCCGTGGACGATGTGTTGGCCACAGTATTTGTGGCAGTCTCGGAGATAAAGACGTTGGATTGGGGCACACCTAAAGCTTCAGCAGCGATCATAGTCATCTTGGTATGTAGTCCTTGGCCCATCTCCACTCCACCGTGAGCCACAAGAACACTTCCGTCGTGGTAAATATGCACCAGTGCGCCAGCCTGGTTCAGAAATAGGGCTGTGAAAGAGATACCAAACTTGGTAGGAATGAGAGCCATTCCGCGCTTGGACCACTTGTGCTTCTTATTATATTCCTCCACGGCCTTCCGTCGCTCCTCGTACGAGCTCTCATCCATAACCTGCTTATACATCAACGGCACATGCCAGTCCTTAAGCTCCTGGTTGTAGTGGGTCTTGTCTCCAGGCTTGTACATGTTCTGCCAGCGGAGTTGTTCGACCGGTATCTGAAGATGATCCGCAACCTCCGATACCATGCACTCGGCGAAGAACATGCCCTGAGGGCCGCCGAAGCCACGGAACGCGGTGTTTGAAACGGTGTTCGTCTTGCAGATACGACCACGGACGTGCATATTCGGTATGTTGTACACTCCATCAATGTGTGAAAGCGCTCTTTCAACTACTGCACCAGACAGATCTTGGGTGTGGCCACCGTTGGCGTATACATCCGCATCAAATGCAAGCAGTTTACCTTCTTTTGTCACTCCCACCTTCCAGCGGCAGAAGAATGGATGGCGCTGGCCCGAAGTAGCAATATCCTCATCGCGATTGAGCATGCACCGCACAGGTAGCTTCGCCTTCGCAGCAGCAGTAGCACAAATACCAGCCAGCTGGACTGAACGCGTCTCTTTGCCACCAAAGCCGCCTCCAAGGCGCTTTACCCGAGACACAATCTTGTTGGCAGCTACACCAGTTACTTGTGCAACGTAAGTTTGCCTAAAAAGAATCAGTATAGCCTTTCTTGGGGTAGATGTCATGACTCACGTTTCCGTTGGGTTTTGTGTCCCACTCCAGATCTCCATCTCTCCATCCTCAAGCTTGGGGATAGCAACACAAGCCTGAGTTTCCAGGTAAAAGTGTTCCTGACCACCCATTCTTGACTGTCCGGTAAAGACATAGTCTGCTTCTTTGAAGGCCCTCTCTGGGTCCCCACACTTGATAAAGCGGGAGTGTTCAAAGAACGACTCGGCCTCAATGGCTTCTTCCATACTCAAGATTGCCGGCAGCTCCTCATATTCTACCTTGACCGCTCTTGCACCCTCCTCCGCAATCTTGGCCGATGTTGCGAGGATCATACCAATGGGCTGGCCAGCAGTTGTGACTTCATCGACTGCGAAGAAAACTTCATCGCAGTTCGGAGCTCCCCACCAATTGGCCTTGGGGTTAGGGAGATCGGTATGATCCACATAATGAGCAACGCCAGGAATATCGAGAGCGGCCGAAGTATCCACGCTAAGTATCCGAGCATGCGCCTTGGTCGAAAGAACCATGCAGCCATAAAGCTCGTTTTTCATCATCGGCATGTCGTCGGTGTACTGTGCTTCTCCAGTAGCTTGCTTCAGTGCAGAAACATGAGGACTAGCCTTTCCGAGAATCTTCTGTTGATATGCTGCAGAAGCCTCGTGATCTTTCTCTCCAGAGGAAATGGCCCTTTCAATCTCGGCAATGACATCTTCATCGACATCTGCGTCCGTGACCTGGATGGAGGACAGTACATCGTGGTAGAACCGGTAGAAGAATCCCAAGGCGAGAGACTTTCTGTAAGTCGCCATTCCTCCAGGGACACCAAACTTCAAGTCAAAGTCCTGCTCTAAGGCACCCATGGTACCCTCAAGGGTAGCAGGGTTGGTGAACTTCTTGCCAGCCAAATAGGCCTCTGCATTGCGTGCGGACACGGTCATTGGAGCTAGCCCTCCAAAGACCAAGTTTACGCTCTGCACATCGTGGGAAGGAGAAAGTGAGACCCGCAAAGCTGCGTTCACGATCGCGATGTCATCATCCTTCCTCTTTGACTGCTTGTAGGCACGCAGATATTCCCCCTTCTCGGACGCAACTGGGATCCGTAAACAAGCGATAATAGCGTCAGGCGGGAGCGCAGTGGATCGGTAGCCCTTGAAGAACTGGCTCATAGGGATTTCGATAACTTCACCCAACGACATGGCTACAAGGACAGTGTTGGTAGCCACAAAGACTGGATTTAGGTCAGAGATTGGAGATGCTGTAGCCAGATTTCCTGCTGGTGACGCGACGTTGCGAATTTGTCTTCCAGCAAAATAGCGGAGTTGCTTCTTGATGGCGTTAAATGGCTGGCCTCGCAAAGGCCCATAGCGTTCGAGGGCCTCATCACAGATTGATTCGAGATCGGTCAAGGAGACATTGGCCCCAATCTCCAAATGGTCATCCTTGAGCGAATACTGACGGAGTTCCGGAATATCACCGACGTAGACAGAGGTGCTGTACCTCATAGCCTTGAATTTGACCTCAATCTGTGTCTCTGTGCTCCCTCCAATGATCTTAGCATCAGGATGTACAGCTTTGATCTCCAATAATTGTTCGAGAGTGACCGGGCGATACCACTTCTTTTTCTTGTTACCAAGGACCAAAGGGCGGAATTCGTGCTTGTGGAGCTGAGGCGGGAAAATCAGCTCCGTGCCCGGAGTGTACTCTATGAACTCTGGCGGCGTGAATTTCGGACCATCTCCATCTGTTGTGTCTGCCGATGACCGCTTGCAGCAACCCCCAGCGCCGTTCTGTTTATCCATGCAACAACCTGTGCCTCCGTTCGCCAGGGATTTCCCGCAGCCCTTGGGAGCTGTGAAGCTCTGGGCAGCATCCAATATGGGCCTGTACCCGGTGCAACGACAAAGATTCCCGTCAAATGCTTCTTCAACGTCGTGTTCAGTCGGCGCAGAGTTATTGCGTAGGAGGGCATAGAGGCTCTGTAGATCTGTCAGCTTAGTCCCGCCATTCACCATACTTCGAAGAGCATACCATGACAATTCCTGGCGTACAGAAACCGCACTGGCTTCCATTACCAACCGCAAGTCGCTGTTGGACAGCATGGGGATTCTTCACATCGCCGATACCTTCCACCGTTATAACATGTTTCCCGTCTACACTGATTAAGGGTGCGAGGCAAGCGTTGACTGAAGCATGATAAAGCTTCTTTGTCGTCGTATTGAAATGCGATACAACCTGGTTCACGTCAACATGAATCCAAATGCTGATGAAATGACCTGGATACATACCACTGTGCAAGCACCACAGCCACCTTCCGCACAGCCCAGCTTCGTACCTGTCAGACCGATACCCCGCAGATACTCCAATAGCGTGACTTCCGGATTGATCGAGTCGAGGACTACTTTTGTGCCGTTGAGATAGAAGCGAATAGTGTCATCCCAGTCCTCCGTGAGCTGAGCCAAGGTGACAGCCTTACTGGCAGCCACCGTTGGCTTTGGTGATTCTAAAATGCCTGGGGCCATCTTGTTTCCTGGAACTCAAATGCGGAAAAGTCGATTTCCCCGCCGAGATGAGCGGACGCCAAGACCGGCCGGTGTAAGAAATAATCAAGTTGGTTCAGAGTTGTATTAGGATAGGATCCATGAAGGTATTCAGAGCCGAAGTATTTCAGAACATAGAAGGATATACAATAAAACTTATGGTGGCAAGATGATGAAGAAAGGGGGGAAGTCCCTCCCCGGCATGAGCTAACCAAGGAAATGTAAAGTCATGCACAAGCTTATCGTTGCCTCCCCACTGCGGTTATCGCTGGCTATCGCTGGCCCGCCCGGCGGCGATCGCCACTGTCCGATGGGCGGTAACTTACGGCAGATGTCATCTGATCACTAATCTAGCGACTCTCACTGGTGCCCGGTGAGCAACCTAGTAGTACTAGTAAGTACTCTAAAGAGAAGTTAGTAGTCTCAATAGTTGGACTCTTGGTAAGTAAATGAGGAAACAGCAAGGCATGAAATTATATAGTAAGAGATCACGGGCCTAGTACCAACAGCAAGAAAGAATAATGAGTATCGATCAACGCCGTTCCCAATGCTTTGGCCGAAGCCACCCGGGCCAAGATAAATAGTAAACAGTTCAAGCGAAGAGAAGCAATGTACACCAACAAGTACTAGCAATAACATGTCTATGAGTATAAGAGAAAAAGAAAGACACTAATTATACTTTTGGCTTGGCTCCAATGAAGTCCTTTTCTTCTTCTTCCCATTTCTTGCGTTCCACGACGCTGCGCGCACTGTGAACGATAACTTGTTAGCTCATGTCATTCAATCTTTGATTCTTTCCTTTCGGTTCCGTAATAAGGAGAAAGACGGGAACGCTAGGAAAAAATTTGTAGTCCTGTGTCGGTGTACATACCGGTATGCTCTCACGAATCGCCAGACTTCCGTGTCCGCCAAGTTCCAAGCCTCCGCCACATCGGTGATACAAATTCGGTTGGTACCTTTGCCCTTCAGAAATTCCCGTGCCTGTTTCAGGATACCATACTCCTTCTCGACACCCTGCTCACTCGGGTTGGCCTGTTGGATGGATTCCTTCTTCTCTTCTTCATTCTTTGCATCAACCTTGCCATCACGCGGGATCTTGAATCCAAACTGCCACTCAAACTCGTCTAAGAGCTCGGAAGGCAGGGACTGTCCGGCCTGAGGGGGTAGCGACTCAACAGTCATCCACAGGGAGGTGCCTACGACGGCGTCATCGGCAACAGCTCTCTTAAAAACAACAGCTCTCGCAGAACCACCGATATCCGTGCCAAGGTGCTCTTTGGTCACTTCAGCCAACCATACATCACGGTCTGTCTCGCGGCGAATGTGCCGCGTTGTAACCTCGGTAGAATCCTGCTGCAGACTGATGAGCGTAAAAGGATGAGGCAGAGTCCCGATCGTGAAGACCTGGGTCGTATTCCTGTAAGTCGCTGGCTGGCTAACCTGCATGGGCTTTTCAGCATCGCAGGGGTGACATTTCGGCAAGTTCGGAGGGCACGAGCGGGGAACGGGAGAACCAGGACATTGAACCAGGGCTTTGGCAAGCCGTAGGGCCGGTTCCACCAGAGCCGTAGTATGCTCAGGGAATGGTTTCAATACAGCAATGCCTGCAGGGAAGGAGTTCTGGAAAGTGTTGTGCAGGTGGGCATTGATCAATTCAGCCAAGGCCAGTCGTCCAGCGGTAGGCGAAGAGACAATTTTCTCGGCAACTGTAGGGTAGTGACTGGTAATGGCAGTCGAGTCGTAAAGAGCCAGAGCGTTAGGCTCTTCCACCTTGAAGAATTCGGCTGGAAGCAAATCTATCAAAGAGGTGGACTTGTCATCCACCTTGTTCATAGCCTCCTTGATTGCATCATTGATACGTGATTTCTCGCCAGCAAATAGAGCATTCCCAAAGCCATCGAAGCGGGTGATAAGGGCAGGATCGGTGCCTCGACGCAGATAAGTGAGAAGAGCGTTATCGTACCGGGCCATGGGAAAGCAGTGCCAATCCGCAAGCATACCATCACCCATATGGCCCCAAGCTAGCCACCTGAACAGCTCACTTTCAAGCTCCGGCTTAAGATTCAAGGGCTGAACAAGCTCGTAAAGCTGGTTGTTCATGGCTTCACCAGGGCCAAGAATGACGGGGCGGAATCCTTGCGCAAACCAAGCCCTGCGCCAGGCGAGAAGCAGCTGCGCGTCCGCATTATCCTCCTCCCGATCGTTTCCTTTATTGGGTTCGTAGTACGTGTAGATGAACGGGCGATTTCTGAGAGGGGGGAGGACGGAACGGTTCTCATCGAGGGTGATCGATGACGAGAAAGGGTTGATCCACGACCAATCGCTGAACCACTTGGACTCGCCGCTGGTGCTGTTAGGTTGCGGTTCCGGAGGTGTATGCACTGTCGGGTGAAACGATGGCAGATGCAGGTTATTTAACGAAGGAAGTTTCGGGTGAGGGACATATTTGGCCGGGCCGGAGACTTCCTCACCAGTCGAAGGGTCGGTCGTCGGGGAGGAAGAGAAGATGACCAAGACGAGGGCAACAAAGACGATGATGGTAATGAGAGCCGTGCTCCGATGAGGGATCATTTTGACCTAGGATGCACGGCCTGGATCAGGCCTGAATCAATCAGGGGAAAGCTGCCGAGTGGAAGTTCCGTCCGTCCAAGTCGAAAGTGAGAAAGTGACTGGATGTTCTTCTGTGAGGCTCCTGCCTGTCCCGATGCGGGTGGGAAACGAACGGTAAGTAATAAACTAGGTATTACGGTCAAAGTCCTTAGGGGGGTTAGGGGATGGAACTGAAGGAGCGAAGGTTGTTGAACGAGGGAGTAATATGACAACGGGAAGAAAAGCGAGGTGTGAAAGAGACGTCAGAGACACGTCTATTAACCCATGGCAAGCGAGAGTACGAAGTGACAATCCAAAGCACCTCAGCAGGATTGGAAGCATAGACTGTGAGGCAGCGTTGCACTTTGTTCCTGAACAACCCAATGCGGAAGTGCCTGGAAGGGGTTCAGAAGCCTAGACCCAAGCGGGTAAGTCAGCGATACGACGGTGTCTCCATCCAAGTGGGTAAAGAGTCCCAGTTGTTTGTACAGGATGTGTGGTAAGCCACCGCCGCATGTGGCGGTGCAAATGGGAAAAGCGGTCAGTGTATTATTACAGCCGGAGAGATTCCGGGATTCTGCTGGTTGTACCCCAGAGGCGGTGAGATCACCGCCATCGAAATGATCCTCCCAAATTGTGGGGAGGAGAAAGGAAACCTCAGGCTAGTACTGTCTGGTGGGCTGCAGCCGACATCGGCACTTTTTCTCGCGTGCCCCTCTTGACTCATCGCTGATCGCTGCTCTTCCCATCTTTAATTCCAACTAATTCATTAATTCCCTACTGACCTTTCATATTCCGCCAAGTGCAGTTGACGTCCCTCATCTCCCCCCACTTACAAGGGCATCGCAACTGTAACAATGGCTGTCGAATCAGTCTCCTTGCAGGAGCGCCTCGAGCGATGGGCTCAGAGACTCCAGAACCTCACAGTGTCTCCCCTCACCCGAGACTATCCCGACAACCAGAAGCAGGAGCTTCCCAAGAGGGCAATTGAAGCCTTCGAGTCCATTCAGCTGTCCAAGGAGACGCAATCGGACTTGCAGAAGATCTCGGGCTCTTCGTCCGGATTTACTGTCTTCCTGACAGCGTTCATCGTGCTCGTTGCACGGCTCACCGGTGACGAGGATATTGCCGTCGGAACCAGCTCCAGCGACGATGGTCGTCCTTTCGTCCTGAGAGTCCCAATTGAGGCATCTGAAACCTTCCTACAGCTGTATGCCAAGGTCCAGAAGGTATGACTAGAAAAAAAAAATAATTCAAGGTAGCGTATATTATCATAGTCGCTCATCTAACCTTTGTTCAGGCATTCGAGCAAGGCTCGGCCGAGATCGTACCTCTGGGCAGTCTACGATCCTATATTCAAGAAAAGTCTCAGTCTGAACGCTCCCCCGTCCTCTTCCGCTTTGCTGCCTACGATGCCCCTGCTGCCTCTCAGGATTACCCTGCCAACACCTTCGAGACAACAGATCTGGTTGTCAACATTGCCCCCATCAGTGCATCGGATGGCTCCACAACCCAGGCGGAACTGGGAGCTTACTACAACCAAAGACTCTTCTCTAGCTCGAGAATTTCCACCATCCTCAAGCAGCTTGCCCGTTTGGTTGAAAATGCGACCAGCAACCCGGAACAAGCAATTGGCCGCATTGACTTCATGACTGAAGATCAACTGGCCCTTCTTCCGGACCCGACCTCCGATCTGAACTGGTCCAATTTCCGCGGTGCTATCCACGATATCTTCGCCGCTAACGCTGAGAAGCACCCCGAGAGACTCTGTGTAGTGGAGACCAAGTCTGAGCGGTCTCCTCACCGGGAGTTCACGTACAAGCAAATCAATGAGGCTTCGAATATCTTGGGTCATCATCTGGTCCAGTCGGGCGTGGAGAGAGGAGAGGTCGTCATGGTGTACGCTTACCGTGGTGTCGATCTGGTGGTGGCCGTTATGGGTATCCTGAAGGCTGGCGCGACCTTCTCCGTCATTGATCCAGCCTACCCCCCGGAAAGACAGTGCATCTATCTTGATGTGGCTCGCCCTCGGGCACTGATCAACATTGAGAAGGCCACAAAGGATGCCGGCGAGCTCTCCGATGTGGTCCGCTCATTCATTAACGAGAACCTGGAGCTGCGCACGGAAGTCCCTGCCCTGGCCCTTCGCGACGACGGCTCCCTCGTCGGAGGATCAATCAACGGCCAGGATGTCTTGGCCAACCAAGTTCCTCTGAAAGCCAAGTCTGTTGGCGTCGTTGTCGGTCCCGACTCCACCCCGACTTTGTCCTTCACTTCTGGCTCGGAGGGCAGGCCCAAGGGTGTCAAGGGTCGTCACTTCTCTCTCGCATACTACTTCCCATGGATGTCCGAGACTTTCAAGCTTACGCCCAACGATCGGTTTACTATGCTCAGCGGTATCGCTCACGACCCGATCCAAAGAGATATTTTCACCCCTCTTTTCCTGGGAGCTCAGCTGCTGGTTCCTGCCCGGGAGGATATTCAGAACGAAAAGCTTGCCGAGTGGATGCGCGAGTATGGAGCTACTGTCACTCACCTTACCCCTGCCATGGGTCAGATTCTCGTCGGCGGTGCTTCGGCACAGTTCCCCTCGCTTCACCATGCCTTCTTCGTCGGTGATATTCTGATTAAGAGAGACTGCCGCTCTCTGCAGGGCTTGGCTCCCAATGTCAACATCGTTAACATGTACGGAACGACTGAGACACAGCGTGCGGTCAGTTACTTCGAAATCCCGAGCTACTCGAGCGACGAGGGCTACCTGGATACTATGAAGGACGTCATTCCGGCAGGTCGGGGAATGCTTGACGTTCAAATGCTGGTTGTCAACCGCTTCGAGCCCAGCCGCATTTGCGCCATCGGTGAAGTTGGCGAAATCTACGTCCGTGCCGGTGGTCTTGCCGAAGGCTACCTGGGTTCGCCTGAATTGAACCAAAAGAAGTTCCTCAACAACTGGTTTGTTGATAACCAGACCTGGGTTCAGAAAGACCAGGCCAAGGCAGACAGCGCGAACGAGCCCTGGAGGCAGTTCTACCAAGGTCCTAGAGATCGCTTGTACCGCAGTGGTGACCTTGGCCGGTACACTCCTTCGGGAGATGTCGAGTGTTCCGGACGTGCAGATGATCAGGTCAAGATCCGTGGGTTCCGTATCGAGCTCGGTGAGATCGATACCCACCTGTCTCGCCATCCCCTGGTGAGAGAGAACGTCACCCTGGTGCGTCGTGACAAGTTTGAGGAGCGGACTCTGGTCAGTTATTTCGTGCCGGACATGAGCAAGTGGGCTGCTTGGCTGCAAGAGAAGGGTCTTGAGGATGATGACTCTGCTGAAGGAATGGTCGGCATGCTTAGACGGTTCCGTCCTCTTCGTGACGACATTCGTGACTTGCTGCGGACCAAGCTCGCCTCCTACGCCGTGCCGACGGTGTTCATCCCCCTCAAGCGCATGCCTCTCAACCCTAACGGCAAGATCGACAAGCCTGCGTTGCCCTTCCCCGATACCGCAGAGCTTAGTGCCGCAGCTCCTCGTCGCAAGTCATCTGTGGTCCAGGCTCTATCTGAAACCGAGCAGGCGCTGGCTTCAATCTGGGCCTCACGCATCCCCAACCTTACTGCTCGCATGATCGGTCCTGATGACTCCTTCTTCGACCTTGGAGGGCACAGTATCCTTGCCCAGCAGATGTTCTTCGACATTCGCCGCAAGTGGCGCGGAATTGACGTTAGCATGAACGCCATCTTCCGTAGCCCAACCCTCAGGGGATTCGCCGCCGAGATTGACCGTCTGCAGAACTTCGAGTCTTTCGCCAGCAATGATGACAAGACCGCTGCTAAGGCAGATGCCTCGGCTACTCCTGACGAGCTTGATGATGAGTATTCGAAGGATGCCCGGAAGCTGGCAGAGACTTCCTTGCCCGCCTCTTTCCCCACGCGTACCGAGCCTCTCCTGTCCAGTGAGCCAACCATCTTCCTGACTGGTGCCACTGGCTTCTTGGGTGCGCACATCCTTCGTGACCTTCTCACTCGCAAGTCACCCATGGCCAAGGTTGTGACCCTGGTTCGTGGTAAGACCGATGAGCAGGCGCTTGAACGTATCCGCTCCACCTGCCGCGCCTACGGCTTCTGGGATGAAGCCTGGACCAGCAGACTGCAGTGTGTTTGCGGTAACCTGGGTGAGCCACGCTTCGGGTTCTCGGATGCTCTCTGGGACGACTTGACCAAGCGTGTGGATGCCGTTATTCACAACGGCGCTCTTGTCCACTGGGTCTACCCTTACTCTACCCTTAAGCCAGCCAATGTCCAGGGCACCATCGATGCGCTGAAGCTTTGCGCTAGTGGAAAGCCCAAGCAGTTCTCTTTCGTCAGTTCCACCAGTGTTCTCGACAGCGACCACTATGTCTCTGAATCCGAGCGCATCGTTGCAGCCGGTGGAGCGGGTATCAGCGAGGAGGACGATCTCGAGGGCAGTGCCGTCGGGCTTGGAACCGGATACGGCCAGAGCAAGTGGGCTGGAGAGTACCTGGTCCGTGAGGCAGGTCGCAGGGGTCTGAAGGGAACCGTCGTTCGTCCTGGTTACGTTCTTGGTGACTCCAAGACCGGAAGTAAGCGAACCTCCAACATATTGACTCCCAGATCATGCTAACGTGTAAACTCTAGCTACCAACACCGATGACTTCCTCATCCGTATGATCAAGGGATGCATCCAGCTGTCTTCCCGCCCCAACATTAACAACACCGTCAACATGGTTCCTGTGGACCACGTTGCCCGTGTGGTCATCGCTGCCGCATTCCAGCCTCCCTGCACTCCCATCGGCGTCGCCCAGGTCACTGGACACCCGCGTCTCCGCTTCAACCAGTTCTTGGGTGCTCTCCAACTGTACGGATACGACGTCCCGCAGGTTGACTACGTCCCCTGGTCCAAGTCCCTGGAACAGTACGTCAATGACGGACAGCACGACGACCCCGAGTCTCAGCACGCACTGTAAGCTTTAACCCTAACCCAATAATCCCACGTTATACCCCATCACGATACTAACATCCCGTCCCAGTATGCCCCTCTACCACTTCGTTACCTCCGACCTCCCCTCCAATACCAAGGCCCCCGAACTGGACGATGTCAACGCCGCCGCCTCTCTCCGTGCCGACGCCGCCTGGTCCGGCATCGACGCCTCCGCCGGCGCCGGTGTCACCGAGGAGCTGGTCGGTCTGTACGCCTCTTACCTCGTTCAAACTGGATTCCTTCCTCCCCCGTCTGCCGCTTCGGCCGCAGCTCGGCCTCTGCCTACGACTCAGCTGAGCGAGGACCAGAAGAAGGCCTTGTCGAACGTTGGTGGTCGTGGTGGTTCCTCTTAAGTTTATACATATAAGTTTGTCACTGTCTAGCGTGCTTTGCTACATGGGTTTTCGCTTTGGGGTTATGTGGGTTGCTTAATTTGTGTGGCACATTGTATGAGGTTATGACCTTTTTTTTCCTTTCTTGGGTGACATAAAAGTTCTTGTATGGCTTGATGGGGAGGCTGAAAAAAAATGTATAGAAAGGACTGTATATGAGGTGGGTGGGTTGGTTTAGAGGTAAAGGATTTCCCTATTTCATCAATGGGCTATGGACGAGTTTAGATGTTTCTATGAATACATAGTCAAGTATCTTATTTCATCGATACATTATTTCGTTACTGAAAATTATGAGCCTTTCTGTCCAAACAGCAAAATGTCAAAGATCCCTTGGTGTCATTCTAGACCTTCGAATCCAGGAAGATCAGGAAGGGGGCCACGCAGCGGGCGTAGTGTCTAATGAAGTGCTTTGCTACGGTAAAGGTTTCCTCGGTTTTACGGTGCAACATAGTTCGATGCGGATCAATCTTATTCTTCCTAGCAAGCAAGACTAAACAAAACTGATAAGTAAGGATCGACTGAAAAGCAACAAATAACAAGACAAAGCCCGAGACATAATCATCGTCACCATCTCCACCGTGATCCGCATCACCCCGTCATCTCCAAATTGATTGTCATAGATGAGTGTTGTCATCAGGGACCCCAAAGGGCTTCTTCCAGCGGCCATCGACTCAGCCACTAGCTAGTACCCCAGGTAGCGTCACCAGTGTCAGTGCCCTGGAAGGTGAAGGATGAGGCGTTCTGGACGATACGCGCGACTGGCTTGTCCGACTGGTCGGTGGTGAAGAAGTCGATGATGAATTTCTGGATTGCGGGTTAGCAGCATGCCTTACTATTGTCCTGAAAAATGGAAATGGGAGTGCATACGCTTCCATCCATGTAGATTTGGACGCTCTGGTTGCCCTGGAGATATTGTTGGTCGTCATAGTAGACGGTTGCACTGCTGGCTATTAGAATGTGATGATTTGTATGAATAAAGGGCAAGACTTACTTGATAAAAGCACTGTTGGGCCTGTAGAATCCAGCAGCTTCACCCTTCACGGCCTGTCCCATGCTCTTTGAAGTCAGGTCAAAAGTCAAGTCAACCCGAGAGATGTTGACTTTGCCGCTGATCCGGTCATGGTAGTTCCAGTGATAGCAAGAGCAGCCATTCGCATGCGCCAAGGATGCCTCCAGCATCTGTCGACCCAGGGGCCGGCTGATCTCCTGCTGGAAGGCCTTCTTGATTTGTATCTCAGACACATCGTGGCCATCAGAACTGGTGATGGTCACTCGGCGAAAAAGCTGCAAGAGCTCCTCGTCCGAAGAGCCCGAGTGCGAAACTGCCTGGAGAGACATGGTCTGCACAGGAGGAGCAGTGGTCACAACGGTAGACATTGCGAAAATTTGATTTCTTGAATTAAAAAGAGTAGAGTCAGAGGTTATTCTTGGTACTGTTGCTTGCTTTGCGAGCTCTGTTGGTGATGATGCTGGGAAGAAGGAATGGAGGAGATTCTGCCTTCCTTATATAGGTTTTGAGACTGAGTGAAGACTAAGATTTGACATTCAGCTCCGACTTCTGTTCAGATGCTTTGAGCGATGCGAGTTCGTGACTGGTAGAGTCACTTCGAGTAAACACCTCGAGGCATGCCTGTCTCGGACCTGGATGTCGAGTGGAAACTTCGCTACGAACTTCCATCTGCACGATGGATCACATTTCAGCTGTCCTTGAGCACTCGGATCTCACGATAGCAAGTCTGATGTCTTCGTTGGGCATGAATTCGGCTATGCGCTGCGAAGCTGCTTGCGATGGGTGTCTCCATCTTCGAAAGCATGACTTTGGAGTATACAGTCCAGCTAGCCACATTCTCATCTCCAAGGTGAGAAGTTGTAGGCATGGGCATGAAGCTATTGGCTCTCAGCCCATACAGGAGCAGGCATTACTCTTCCCATAAATCCCGTTTCTCATCGGCTATTTTGGCTACTGGTCATCATTGGTGGTTCATATGCGGCTAGATGTCTGTACATAGTCAGACCTACAGAGAACGATAATTTCTTACATGAAGCAAAGCTGCTAGCCATATAGACGCACCCGTTTGTTTTGACGAAGGATCACAACGCCGTGCTGGAATCTGATGGACAGACGGTCTAGTCTGTACCTGGCTTGGATATAGACTGTCCAGTGAGATTCTCTCAACGGTGTCTGTCGAAGGACATGAAAATAACGCATCTCCAATCAGAATTATCGAAGACATAATCAGGTATACATATCCATGGCAGTTTGCGCATCTTAGTAGCCACATACATGCAAAAGAATTTCTCAGTAAGAGGAACGATGCTCACCCGACGAGTCAGCGGTGAACGGCGGTCTTCTCCTCATAGCTTTCTAGATGTATATGAATACTACCTAGATGTCTGTCGATTCAAGACCGTTTATTGTCCCTAAACGTCAGGCTGCACTGGGTAAGAATGTCATCGAGTCCTCTCAGAACTGCCAAATCCACCGATTGGTGATATTGGGAACTGATCTGGGTGCTGGAAAAAGTTCATGCAGCCAGTATTCTGCAGGAAGCCGCGTGAACCACTGACGAGCAGTGACATGAGTAGAGTCAACGTTCGACAGGCTGCGATCAGATCCAGCTCGGGAATTTTTACCAGATTTCCTTCGGACCTGCCGGGATGTCCGGACTGTTCAGCCATGACATACGGAGCTTGGCTTCAGAGCGCATAGCCCCACGACGTAACAGTTCAGCCAGCCCTTGATGCTACAGACGTCTGTCCGGTTTTTCGTACGGAAGAGGCAGCTTAGCCAGGTCTGTGGCCAAGTCGGATACTCTGCAATACCTGCACCACGTGCAGAATAGCTCATTGACTGTTGCGCAAAGCTGAGGGTGCCCCAGCTATTGTCGCTATGCAGCCTTCAGTCGCCTGATGGTTACATCGGACCAGTCTTTCCCCAGAAAACCAGTGAATCATGAAGCAGTGGCTGGCGCCACCGCCACCAGCACCGTTCATTGGCGGGGTCGCCTTGCTCGAACGGGATCCTACCCCGGCGTCTTATTCCTCTGTTTCCGAGCGAAGAACCACCGTGATTTTGTTGTGGCTTCCGCAGGGGTTGGAGTGTGCCCAGGTATAACTCTAGCAGGTTATCCTATCAGGAGATCGCTGCCTACTTACTTAGACGAGACGGCGATGATGATTTCCACAAGGCACGTGCAGCAGCAGTACATTCATTCTATCAGAAGAGAGTAGAGGTAGTGGTGTGACTGAGGCGAAAAGCAAAGAAGATCGAACCGAATAGGATTATCTAGAGAGAGAGAGACAGAGAGAAGAAGAAGAAGAAGAAGAAGAAGAAGAAGAAGAAGAAGAAGAAGCAGCAGCAGCAAACAAGCAAAGCTGCGGATCACGGGATTCCCTCCTTGGCGGCCCCTCCTTTCTTTTTTCTTGTCTATTAGTATTAAAATGCCAGTCCTCTCCATCGGTCCCCAGTGTGCTGTATATTTGCATCGTGAAAGCCCCTCTATTGTCTTCCATAGACACACATTGTGCCGTAGGAATGGATGATCTTCATGATGAACCCCGCATAAGCTTCCCGACCCTCTTGACCGATGGGTCAAGCGCAGCTCAACCCGAGAAAGGCTGTCGGTAACTCATCGGCTCTGGCAACTCATCGCTTCGCACTTTCGGCAATTCGGTGGGGAGCTTAATAATGGGGTCAACCAGCTGGCTCATGGCTCATTTATGCTTCGGCAACTCAATTGAGTCTGACTAGCTAGCCCCGCTCCTTTATTTTGGACTTCAGTCAGTGGTTGCTAGGAAGTATTGATAAGCTGCTTGCAGTCCCATCAAGGTACTGGATTTTCTCGTAAACTCTTCTACATTACTTCCCTCCAGCAATTGGTCACTTAGAGCCTTATTTGTACGTGAATTTCACATCTCATAACCTCCCCGCATCTTTCCGCGTGCTTGTGGAAGTGACTAACATGGCGTTACAGTCATTCAAACTGATCCATCATGGCCACCAACAACGACATGGAATACGTCCGGTATGTAAATTGTGATTGTGACTCATCTCATGGACTCTGACTTAGCTAACGGAATTGGCATGTTAGCCTGGGAAACTCGGGACTGAAGATCTCCAAAATCATTTTGGGCGCCATGTCCTATGGCGCCAAACAGTGGCAAGATTGGGTTCTAGACGAGGAAGAAGCTCTCCCTTTGATTGAGCATGCTTACAAGCGCGGAATCAACACATGGGATACGGTACATTCAAACTACTATCTCCCTTTTGCCTCAATACGTTACTAACTAGCTTCCAGGCTGATGTCTACTCCCACGGCCGTTCCGAGGAGGTCATTGGCAAAGCCCTGAAGAAGTTCTCTATTCCCCGTAACCGGGTTGTCATCCTGACCAAGTGCTACTTCGGTGTGGATGACCAAGGCAACTTCCCTCCGATTTCTGCTTCCGGTGCTAACGACGGTGGTTTCGTCAACCGGGTCGGCCTGTCCCGCAAGCACATCTTCGACGCCGTTGACGCCAGTGTCGAGAGACTGGGAACCTACATCGACGTGCTGCAGATTCACCGGCTGGATCGCGATACCCCCCGTGAGGAAATCATGCGGGCTCTCAACGACGTGGTTGAAAGCGGCAAGGTCCGATACATTGGAGCTAGCACGGTACGTCTTTCCTGTTCCCCCTTTCCTCCAGCGACGCATGCTTACGCCTATCAAGATGGCTGCGTGGGAATTCCAGACCCTCCAGAACATCGCCGCCCGCAATGGCTGGCACCAGTTCATCTCCATGCAAAACTACCACAACCTAATCGCCAGAGAAGAAGAGCGCGAGATGATCCCGTACTGCCGTGACACCGGCGTGGGCCTGATCCCCTGGTCGCCCATGGCTCGTGGTGTGCTGACCCGCCCGTGGGGCTCTCGTTCTACTGTGCGTGAGGCGACAGACGGGGCACTCAAGTTCCTCATCCGCAGCCGCGAGACGGAGTCGGACAAGGCTATCGTCGACCGTGTCGAAGAGATCGCTAAGAAGAGGGGTATCAGCATGGCTCAGGTGGCCATCGCTTGGTCGCTGAGCCATCCCAATGAGAACCCGATTCTTGGACTCAACAGCAAGGAGCGCATTGACGAGGCTGTTGCCGCTACCAAGGTCAAGTTGACTGATGAGGAGATTAAGTACCTGGAGGAGCCTTACATCCCTAAGGCTATCACTGCTCTGGAGCGGTAAAGGTTAGAATATGATCATCTAATCAATGTCACTATATACACAGTAAAATCAATCTGTTCAGTCACACAAATGAGCTACCATTCATTGAATTTAAGTACAATGACATAAAGGACGAACGAACTCGTAGTCTTCATGCGCATGAATGGACATATTTGCGATTGACTGGATCTATGAATTCAGGCTTGTTCCCCCTCATTTAAGCCGATCGGTTACAACAAACCCCGCAAACCAATTGTAGTAAGTATGCGATCCCTCGGAAACTAAACCCACTACGTTTCTGGCTGGAAAATGCCTTCTTATCCTATTCCCTGCATGTACTATGAGTTCAAACAATAATGTGTCGTATGTGCCATTTATATGTATTTTTCAAGCTATTTGTACGTACTCTACAAAATACCAGGTATATCTCCCCAAAACAATCAATGCTGCGGAGCTTGCTTAGTACATATACACGGACAGGAAGGTGGTGTTAATGTTGATGGTGAGGACGGGAAAGAGGAATCAGGAGGGTAAGAAAATAAGAGGGTAAGAGAAAAGGAGCGCTATATCAGATATATGTCGTGGTATTCATATCGCTGGGAAGTGCAAAAGAGCTGAGAGATAATATGGGAGAGACAAGTGTCATGCAAAGTTGAAAAGTGGGAGAGGCCAGACACCCAGTGCGATAAGAAGTAGCGATAGCTTCCGGCCTTACGACGGAGACCTTGCCATCCACTTGCATACAATAATACAACCGCAGCTCCAGGCTTTCGTGTCACTATTGTAGTGTCTGGGACAGATATTCTCGCCTCTGCAAGAGGGAGAGATACGAAAAGAAGACAACTGTCCAGAGCAGATGAAAACAATGAATGGAGATATTTGTGAAATGGGTATGTGGTTTTAAAGCTCCAGGCTTGGCTCAATGATGATGTCCGGTCTTGCGAATAATATATTCGAAGAGGCTGCTAATCCGATGCCGACGCTTTCCCTTGCTCGGCGCCGAGTCTGCGGGGGAGTCAATACCTTTGTCGCGAAAAGAATCGGCTTGGCGTGACTGGTTGTTTTCGTATCCCCTGGACCCGTCTATCGCTTGATCCGGGGAAGCTGTCATCTTGAAATCTTGGACGTCGGATTTCCTATGGGAAAATAACCTGCGGCTCTTGGAGTCTTGTCGGGCAGGCTTGGCTTCGACGGTTTCGTCCTGTCTCTGCTCGCGAGGACTGGAGAGCGTACTGTGTCGGGTGAGACGACCGTTGCTACCCGAAGCACGTCGGTTAGTCCGCTCAATGAAGGCCGCACCAGTTGAGTTGGACCGTCTCGATAAGCTCCCAAAGGTCGTCGATCGGTCGGACACCGTGGATTGTGAAGGGACATAGCTGGATGTCGAGAGGCGATGTCTTCGACCATTTAGCGGGGGAACATCATCGTGGCCATCATCCCTCTCGGTGAATCTGTCAGTCTCACTTCTAATCGCAGTTGGCGAGCTGTGTCTCGACGGACACATTGTCTTAGTGTTGATCGCCAAGGCTGAATCGTCGTAAGTGAAGTTATGAGACCAGCCTTCCCTAAAGGCTACCCATATGCTGGTGATAATGATCAGCATGCGAAGGTCATTGTCGGTTTTCAGAACCTTTCGGTCCAGTGGATCATCCATCTCGGAGAAGTCGCTGAGCACGGACATGGCGGAAGTTGGCGAGCCAGCAATACCCGGTGTGGTCGGAATCGAGTACTCATCATACACCTCGAGGTGATTGCGTGTCATCGTACCAACAACCGGGTGACGGCGAGTGCTAGGATTGATCACGCTGAACGTAAACCGCTTGCTGTCCTCTTGCGAGAAGCCTGGGGGCGCAGACACGCGACGATTCCTCCCACCTCTCAGAACCCACCGCAGGACCTGGATACCATCATCTGTATTGGCCACAAACTCATAGGAGCCATTGGCAAGAGGCGTGGCCTCCCAAACTGGTCCATGGTTCAAACAGATCTCCGCCTTCCCTTTCGATAGAGCATCGTCCCTGAAGAGCTGGCATATCGTTGCGACCACCTCACGTTGTTCTCCGCCTTCATCATCGGAGCTTAGGGACCTATCCCCATTATCGCCCGGTGCCCGCTCATAGAGGTCACTAGTTACGACAATGAGGTCATTGGGGCCTAGTCCTTTTTTACCGCGGAAGATCATCGGGAACTTGCGAGCTAGAGGTGGCAGGAACACGGTGGAGGGAAGCACATCCAAAAGTGGGAGAGGTCGTGGGGTTTGCGACACACGTTGAAGCTGCAGGAGAAGCTTAGGCCGGAGCTTTAATCGCCTATGGCGTGCGTGGGCCGCGGGATGCGCTAGCTGGTATGACGTTTTAGGGCGCGACGATTGTTTCCGAACTGATTGCGAACGGGCGATCCTTGATGGAGCTAGGACTGGGGTGACTGTCGAACGCTCGTCATCGCTCGAGGATAATGTATCAATGGCAGCTTTGCGCGGCATTGTACGCTGCGTCGTTTCTGGTTCCGTGGGTTTGCGCCGGTTATAGATGCTGCCTAGTCCCCACGATGGCAGGGAAGCGAATGAAATTGCCGGGGACGAATGACGCGTCGGGCTAGGGATCTGGGTTTCGGATGGTAACCCGGGGTATTCGTTTTCGTGAGCTGCTGCCGCATCCGCTGTTAAGCCAAGGTTGAATAGCATTATCTCTTGGGATGCGACAACGTCTGTTAATTCTCCCCGATCAACATGGACGGCATAGATCGGTGGCAGTGACGGGGATTATCAATGATGACAGTGACGGGGGTGGCTGTGGCTGACAGAATACGTCAGCCTAAGCCGATGCAGCTAGTTAACAAGTTGCCGTAGTTCACTGGTTTGGTACCTCGTTATACCAGAGATATGCTGAATAATTCAGAGCAATGGAAGGCAAAAGAACAAAGATAAGGAAAAGACCCGGATCAGGAAGAGATGGCGGTAGTAGTAGTGGTGGTAGTAAGAGAGGATATGACGAGACAAGGAAGGGGGAGGATGGATGGAGGATATAGTAAGTAGATAGAATGAGCGTGACCTGCACGGGAACTATCAACCCCTCCACCAGAATAAGGCTGAAGCTGCAGATGAAATATAGCGAAGGAGGGGATTGAGGTCAGCGCAGGAGGCAAACCGGATAGATGGATGAATGGGGAAATTCAGATGTTGTACGACGTGGACATTGGAGGAGCAAAGAGCAAAGAGTGGGCGGAAGTATGCAAGGGAGGCCGGACAGTGTGGGTTAGGGGGTCCAGAAGCGCCTTAATATTCAGACTTTCAGATGTGCGAGGAGAAAGAAAGAGAATACGAATCGCATGTCAGATGGGATCGATGGATCATCGATTAGAGGGGCGAAAAGATGGCGGTCAAGATCCCACCATGAATCTGGTGGGCAAATAGTCATAAATAAGAATCATCCATCATGCTTCTTGAATCGAACTAAATAAATGGGGGGAGGGTCAAAGTGGGAAAAAGAAAAGAAAAGAAAAGAAAAAAAGGGTATGAAAAAAAAAGGAAAAGCAAAAATTACAGCAAAAGGAACCCACATGGATCCAGAAGTGACAATGACGGTTTAGTAGGTCACATCTGGTCAAGATCCCGCTGGGGGGCTGTTCTTTCCCCTTAGTGTCTCTGCCAGTCTGATCTGGGTATACTCCTCCGCAGCGATGTCCATCGGAATCTACGGTCAAGAGCGAGTCAGCCAAGCCAAATCGTGAGAATGAAAGTGAAAATTAATGTTTCTAGGAACAGGCTGGGTCGTCTGGTCTCGTTGCATGAACTGGGTCCTGACCATCCATGGCCGGCAGCTCGCATCCATGGCCCCAAGCAGCTAGCCGACGATCCTCTTCTTTCGGAACTAACCAAACGCCGACACTAAGATTTCTTCATTGGATGGCAACCTCCATCGGCGGATTATTGGCTGCATCGTAATCCTCTCGTATTGCTTGGCTCGTATCAAATCAGCGAGGATGATTACTACAGCACAGTAAGTACATAGTTAGTATGAACTGTGCCCTGCAGAATTAATCAATTCATTAATCAATTAATTGTTCCTATTATTATGACGAAGATCATCCGAATGCTTCCATGGAGCAGAACTATCTAGGATTACAGTTAAGAAACGGAAGATGAGTAGCTTGACCGACCCGTTGACCGACAACAGCATTTTTCGGAGCATCGGAGCTGGATTATGCAATGGCGATTAGGTAATGGAGAGAGGGAAGACCATGCCGCTGCTACTATATGCATACATACTACTCCGTACTTTCTGCTTAAGCGTGGTTAATTATCCCCCTGTGGTGTAATAAGCATTATCAACCCTCATACTTGCCTTACCTCCATAGGAACTCACAACGCACCTCTCACGTTGCTTACTTTACTTACCTCCTATCAGGTACCAACAAAGAAAAGTATCCCAGCTCAGTCGGGCTCTGGTATCTTAAGTTTTTTCTGCCGCGGTATGATGATGATTAGTTTCGGGGAGAGCAACACCCCCTCCATCGCGGTGTCCCCGCGGACTTCGGGTTTTCGACAACTTGCTGCAACGGAACCGGAAGCTCCGACATGCCGGTAAGGTCCGCACCGTGCCATGGGACCGGATGTCGGATTTTAGAGGCAGCAAGCAAAAAAGAGTTTGGACCTCTGGGTCTGCAAATTTGAGGCAGACACGCCGCTGACTCAGTGCCACTGGTGACGGAGACCAGCGTAAGGCTGAATTGGGACTAAAGTACAGTAATCACTAATCACACTCCTCTCTTTTTCACCCCCTCACCTGGCTGAAAACGGTAGATCAGATCGTTGGTGCCATGAGACTTTCTGCTCCCTTGCCCAACACAGCAGCGATAGGTATACTATCTTCTGATCTAGTGTCTGGTAACCGTCTAAGCCTTGTCCAGCTAAGCTTACTTTTCGTATCGACCGATCCTGAGACTACTTGGCAGTGTCGGATGCCATCCTGAAATCCCTCGTTGTCTCCCCGAGGCAGTCCAGTCCGACCGAATGACTTCCTGGGTCGGGCTTGGCATTACGATCTAACAAACGAGGGTCTGGTTCTGGCGGGGACCAAATGGCAAACTTTTCTCTCTAGTCTTGTAACCATGCCATCGTGGACCCTCCTATCTTGCATGAAAGAAAAAAGTCGCTAGCTGCTGAGGGCGAGGCTGAGAGCGGGTATAGTTATGGAGAAAGTTTAGTTGGTCAGCTGGTCTTTCAACTTAATCGTACGAAAATCTATTGGAACTATATTTCGGAAGAACACAGGCTTCCCGCGGCAAGGCAATATGATGAGGTGGGCGATACCAAAGAAACGCACAGCTGTTCATTTCATCAAGCTTTACGAACACCGCATGGTTTACTGACCACTACATTCGACTGAGGCTCGAGCTAGCTCAGAGAAATAGAGGGGAGCAGGAGTTCGCTTTAGATATCGCCCAGGGCAGTGCTGGAGGGGGTAGGTGGTGGATACTTCCTTCGTCCGTCCAGCTGAGCCCTAAGGTGTATAACTAGCTATACCTATCACAAGATACCAGTAAGTAGGTGGGTGCCCTGTGTAAGTGCCCCTTGAAATTAAGAAAACTGTACGTTGTGAACTACTTTGGGCGTAGATACTTCAACTAGTACTGGCCATTTGATGTAGCGGGCTAGCAGCGGCAGTCATCATTTGATGTGAGTGCAATTTATTAAGTACCATAACATTCTGGAAATTGGCATAGCTGGTGCTCCCTTTTCCACACACTGAGGTTCCTTAACTCGACCCAATGTAATTAAATGTCTCGATCATTTCCCTACTAGCGCTTGTCGGCGTCTAGATTTGCCTTGTCGCCGTTGAGACAATGGCGCTAGGACATTCTCTCCAGCGCCGACGAGAATAATCTTATCTAATTCCTACTATGCCGAAGCCCCTTCGGGCATTCCCCGTCATGTGAACCTGCAGCAGATTTGAATACGGATAATTGGAACTGAAGCAGTCGGGCTCCATCAGTTCCGAGCGCGCCGTAGGGCTGACCTGCCCGCGATTTAGCGGGATGATCCAAGGTTGGATGACCTGTTCACCCAATCCAGAACAGTCGGTGGCTACTGGACCCTGTCAACTGACTGTTCTGAATAATACTTAAAAAGCAGTTACCTGAACAGTAACGACTTCACCAATGCAGAGAGGCAAAGTGGTCTGACATCATCATCATCATCATCATCATCCCTTTCAACTAGTTATGATGATGTATCTTAAAAGTGTAGGATGTCTCTACTCGGGTCAAACAACTAGCTATTTGGTATTACTATGTAAAGTACTAGCTAAAGCGACTGGAAACGATATGGCTAGTATCGAGTAAAAACTCTTCTTCAGAACAGTTTACCAATCGACTAGGTTTCCACCCACTCGCCACTCCAATTATGGAGACTCAAACCGGCATGGTTTCATTTGGTCCCCCTCACAGTCCACAAACATTACGTAGTTGTGCAGTGGTGGATGCTGAATAAGGGGGACTTATGCGTGCCGAGGATTCCGACCGATCAATCCACAGTCCGTCATCCCGTCTGGTGAGCTTCGACGCGTCTTGCCTTCTCCAGATCCCCTTTAGCTTTACCTCGGTTTCTTTGTCATGATTATGTCGGGTTGATCAAAAATCCCTCTTTCTAAGGTGAATGGGCGAATGGGAACCTCCTTGGCGACCAATTATCGGTTTTGACAGTCATCTTACGATGTTTGCAAATCTGGTAGCTGCACAGAACTAGTGAAAATTACACACGCAAGTACTGCCTGGTGACCATGAGCTCCTCTTTGAGCTCCCCAGCGACAAGTCGCCCGAGTCTCCTTAATCCCCGCCAGCCCATCAAGGCGTTGACGGTAGCTTTCTGTCTCTGGAAGGCTCTAGTATATCTGGTCATCATCAGTTGCCCTGGCCTTGGCTACGACACTTCCACAAGCCATCTCTACCATAGCCACAGTCGCCCTGATGTCACCTCAGAAGACATCACTTATGCGCACCTTCCCATCCCGCTTAAGTTCGTCCGGTGGGATTCCGTTTACTTCTTGCATATCGCCGAAAATGGCTATATCTTTGAGCAAGAGTGGGCGTTTGGCTACGGGTACACTAGAGTCCTTGCCTATATTGCCACTGGTAGATCTACCTGTCTTCCTCACCGAAGGTGTATCGCTGTGTTATTTGAGCACTAATTGTGGATGTAGCATTGCAACGATTAATCGGCCCTAGTGGAGCGGCCAGGACCGCTGTCGTGGCGACTGCTCTGTCTCATATTACCCATTATCTTGCCGTCTTAGCCTTGTATAGACTCTCCGTCAACGTATTTGGCCGTGACACGGCCACTCAAAGACTAATCTGCTTTCTTTCAGCAGTTCTGCACGTCATTTGCCCTGCAGGAGCATTTCTTTCTGCGCCGTATGGGGAGTCTTTGTTTTCTTTCCTCAACATCACAGGTTTCTATGTCTACTCGTCCTCGTTTCTCGATAGCAAGGCGGGGAAGCGTCTATCCGGCGACGTGAAACTGCTGGTAGCTGCGATCTTGTTCTCAGCAGCTACTGCAGTTCGTAGCAATGGAATCTTAAGCGGTATTCTGTATGCTTATGATGCTCTTTTGCAGCTTCGGCGGGTTTGGTGCCAAAGGTTATCAATTGACGCTTGTGCCCATCTCTCCGTTATTATCATCAGTGGCTGTGTCATTGCCCTGGGACTTGTCGTTCCGCAAGTCGTGGCCTATTCCACATACTGTGTGGAGGACGATATTTCACGTCCGTGGTGTCAATGGCTTGTCCCTAGTATCTATCGCTATGTTCAAGGACATTACTGGTACGTTGGGATGGCTGTCAAGCACCGCAAAACGCACTACTAAAATGAAATACAGGAGCGTAGGTTTCCTTCGGTATTGGACCGTCTCCAATATCCCACTCTTCATCCTGGCAATGCCGATGCTGGCCATACTTTGCCGGTCGTCGCTATGGGCACTGGATGTGGCAGTGCCCTTTATCTTTCCGAGAGCCTTAAGCGGAGTGGACCAAGCGTCGTCGTCAGCCACGACAGCCTCCCTTCTTCTCCGACTAGCTGTGCCGCAAGGACTGCTTGCCCTGATGGCTCTGACCTCTTACCATGTTCAGATAATTAATAGGATATCCTCAGGATATCCACTGTGGTACTGGTACCTCGCATATTTGGTGTCGGGCAACTGGGGGCAAATGCGACCTTCCCTGCAAGACAGCCGCACCTTTACTGTGGCTGTGCGGGGCATGGTAGCCTATGCACTGATCCAGGCCATTCTGTTTGGGTCTTTCCTCCCGCCCGCGTGATCCAATCGCAGGTCTCTATAATAGGGTATATGAAGGATAATATAACTCATAATATAAGAAAAGTACCACGGCCTGCGCTTTTGCTCTCCTTTCCCCGGTCAAAGGGTCTTTCTTGTAATCACGCGCGGCGAACCATGGAGAAAGTGGCCTCGAACATCGAGTCTCACGGGTTCTATCCCTCTTCCCAGGATTGTTCTTGCCGCTCGAAGTTGTAGGATGTAAACCCCACTATCCATTGAATGGATTCATCTTCGAAAAGTCAATCTCAGAGGATTTACCGTGAGTAGGACTTGCCTCGCCGCGGCGCAAACCACTCGGTGGTTGTTCTGGAGACGGGGCCCAATTAGGCTGCGGCCGTTACGTGGAATTATGTCATCACCGATCCTACAAAACTGAGCCAGATTCACTTGACGGACACCTCCACCGTTGGATTGCTACGTCTGAGCTCGAATTTATCGCGACCCCGAGCGTAATTCTGTGCAAAAAAGCTTTCCTGGCCGAAATCGCATCTCATACAAGTGATACCTGACACCTTACTCTTGGGTCTTTCATCTTGTGCAGTTTGGCGCCTCTGACATTCCTGGTCGCCCTGTTAGCCAAGTCTTAGTAAATCGCTCATGCGAAGACTGATAGCAGATCACTGTTTGGGCATCGATATCTGCAGCTTAGGATTTGCTTCCAACCTTCATGTTTAAGGTGCGACTCCGTTCATTGCCACATACTCCGTTTCAGTCGGTCAAGATAAAGCTAGCTAACACACCGCGGTCCTCAGAGTCCCCCCGAACCTCCTCCCACGTTCTCAACCTTTGTACCCCAGTAATCGCCGGACTGATCGCTCGACTATGGATCATTCAGGTCCTAAGGCCATTCTAACATCCGATAACTTCCAAAATGTTCACGAGATATCGCGAGCTACCTCTCCGGGAGGTGAGCCTGTCGCCTTAAACGGAGAGGGCGAGCCCAAGGCACGGGTCCGGCCTCGTACATACCCATACTTCAAATACCTACCATACACGCCGGAAGACGAATCGGAAAGGCAGCGCAACCTGCGAGAGATTTTGAAACAGCTATATATCGCGGTGGAGGCTGGTGACTTTAGCCCTGGTGCGGTGCACTGGACGCGAGAGCTCAGAGGATGGCTGTCACTCAAGTTTGATCCGACTCGAAGCGAGCGGATCAACCTTGTTAAGCTGTACTATGAGCTATCACTTGCTCCTGGAATCGATCCTAATGTTTCAGAGCGGTTCGCAAGCATGTTCATGCTCCTTACCAAGTAAGTGCGCCCGTTCTTTTCGTCGCTCGGAGACATCGGAACTAAATTTGGCTACAGGCGCAAGCATTATCTCAGACCAGTCAAAGATTTAACACTAGATTGGAGACCGCTATACAGGGAATTAAAGTCATTCGTTCTACCGACAGAGTCTGGGCTTGTGCATTCAACTAACTTGAAGCGCAATGTCAAGACATTGACCAAGCTCTGCGCCTTCGTTCAGCTGTATATTGACCCTTGTGAGCTGCCAGCTATGCTGGAAGAATTCCTTCCTCATTACACTACGTCCTTCTCGGAAGGTGCCTTTGTCGTCGTTGGGTTGATCAATCTCCTCCTTCCCACTTCTCCCCCGCCCGAAGCCAGAGAGGATCTCCTTCCGCATCATTATCTCCCCACTCATTTCCATCTCTGGTCACTTGTGAGCCGCTCGAAGACATTTGACATCACATTCCTTGACTATCTGTCTCGTCTAGCTCGAGACTCATTGCCCGCTGGCCATATACCCTTCTCAGAGTATGGCTTGTTCACGAAGGAACAGTCATCGCTCATTTTTACGGCTATCCTCCGATTACTGGAAATTCCGGTTGGGCAGTCCACATCGCCTTACAGCGCTCTTGTGGACATCTCTTCTGGGCTGGGAATAATGCTGGATCGAGACACTCGGAAGCACCCTGTTGCTCATCACATTGCTCGGTGGATCGTGATGTCACTCTCGCCCGCTTGCCTTGAAGCCGAGGAGTCAGTGCTTACTCAGCTTGAGGGCCTCATACAAGCTGTAGAGACCTTCTTCCATCCTTCCAATTCCGGTAGTTGGACCAAGACCTTGTCCCAGTTGGTGTACTATCTAGCCGACTTTTTCGTCATGCGCTGGAACCGCGAGCAGAGTGGGGAGATGGATATACCACCAGAGCGGAGGCTGACGGAGCCTTTGAAGCG